TAATTTATGTATACTTGTTTTAAAATGTTCTATTTCCTGGTATAACCTAAGTTCTGTTACAAGCATATTAAGCAAAGGGTCCAAGTTACGGCCATTTTGTAGCCTGCCACATGGCAAACTGGTCATATGGCTGACTGGTAGCCATTTTGCTGAAGTTAAAAAAAAAGGATACTTGAACCGCCATCTTGACTAAAGGTGACCGCATGGGAATTAGAGGTACCATCTTAGAAACAAGTTTTTCAGTTAAGATTTAAAATGTTAATGCTTATATATATTACAGAAGACATTAAGGGAATTTAAATTTCTTTTTAAAACCAGTTTTTTTAAATGTTTGTTTTTATTAATGTTTGTACTTAAAGAGCTTCAATTTAGAATTATTTTTAAGCAAAGCCTGACAATGTAAAGTTCTTGTTTTGTGAAAGATGCTAATCTATTATAAGATGTTACAGTTTATGTTTTTAGAAGTTAAGTTTAGGATGTTGGTAGCACACACCTTTAAGCTCAGGATGTTGATGGCACACGCCTTTAAGTTTAGGGCGTTGATGGCATACTCCTTTAATCCCAGCACTCGGGAGGAAGAGGCAGATGGATCTTTATGAATTCAAGGCCTGCCTGGTCCGGCAGATCGAATTCCAGGACAGGCTCCATATATGACAAAGTAGCTACTGTTTAAGGAATATAAGGTAGCTCTATGCAGTTTTAAGTTCAGCTGTGCTAAGTTTCAAATATTTTACTAAGTTAAAACCAGCTACAGTCAGGCTAAAAATTAATTACAGAAATAAGACCTGTCTTTATTATGGCAATAGACAATGTGGTACTCAAGACAAATGCTTTTTATTTAACTGCTTTTTGAAAATCAAAATAATGACCACTCACTACTTTTATGTGTAGAGAAACCAAAATCATATTTGTGGGTATATTCCAAAATCTGCAACTCTTGTAAGAAATTCGCCTTGAGAATTGAATTATATTTAAGTTATTTTATGTTCATATGAAACGGGTTAGTGCTCTCTACACACAAATTTTTGAGTGTCTTTTATTAGTAGGGATAAATGTTTAAAATTGGCTTGTGAACTGATCACTTTTGGGGTTCTTTCTTTCTCAAGAAGTGTCATGTTAATAGTGTCTGACAAATGTACACGATATACTCTACTGTTCAGTTTATGCTATGCAGTTAATTCACTGTTTTACCTTGGATTAAGATTCTTCAACTCTTCCTCTTCTAAGTCTTTACCCTTTTGGCAGCAGTGTGCCGCTGGGTTCAGTTGAACAGAAGAAGGGAAAGTTCCCGATCTGGCCAGAATGGAGCGAGGCAGATATAAATGCCGAAAAGTGGGATGCAGGCAAAGGAGTAAAAGAGAAGGACAAGACCGGCAAGAGCCCTGTCTTTGTAAGTAGGCGTGGCTGAGACTTGCAGATGGCTGGCTGTGGCTTTTCATGCTATGTCTTGCAGTCCAGGAGAGAGAGGCCAGGGTCTAGAACATGCTAGACAAGTTCTGCCCCTAGCCGCACCCCCAGCTCAATAATAATGGGATATACTTGTCAGCATGAGTTTGCACTCCTCCTTTTCTCCAATCTCCATTCCAAAGGGAAAGCTTTTCTTTTCGCCTTGATCCCTCCCCCCATTTTGTTTCCCCAAGCCTTTGTCCTGGGAAAATGGATGGGAAGAAATATAATGGAGTCTTCGTGAAGTACAAGGGAAAATAAGAGGTAAGTGAGCTGGCTTGGCAACTGTTTTTGGACAGTAGGGAACCCAGTATTTGACTTCGTAGCAAAAGTCCCATGGTACCTGCTTTGGCATCTGATGTTCAGGCTTTATCTAACATTAGATGCTTCACAGACACTCGGCTGCCGCTCCAGTCTCTCTGTTTTTCCTCCCACCTTCCACACAGACTTGTTTTTGTCTGAATAACACAGATACATCCTAGAATCTGATCTTCAAAATAGTTTCCAGCATCACTGGATAAAGGCACTCTGCGCTCCTAAAAGGCTTTCTTCAAATTCTTTTTTATTTTTTATGTTCTCTGTCAGAGTTTTCAAGCACTTTAGCCCTTCCCTCCCTGAAGTTTCTTCATACTTGGGATTGACTCATCAGGTTGCTTCACAGCTCCATTGCTTAACTGTGGATTTGCCCAATAGAGCCTACTGCTGTAAAATCTGAAAGATACACACACTAACAGAGACAGGAATCCACACACAAGCAAGCAACAGATCCCCACATGTTTTAAATGGCTGTTAAACTTTATAATATTTTACCTCCATTTGAACTCAAATGGTTCACATGCCCTTGGTATTTGAAAGGTATAGCCATTTTAGATATGGTGCCAAGAATGCATTGCCCAACACATTGCTAATCTGGGCATTAAAGAGCTAATGAAATCAGTAATTAGTTGTCTTTACTAAATGCCTTTTATGAACTAACCACTGAGATTCTGCATTGTGTTAACAGAATTTAAATGTTAACATTTACTATTTCAGGATGCTCTATGCAAATAAAGACATCATAGGCCAGTTTAACTGTTCTGGTCATCTAGCATATATTTCAAAATATTTGTGATATGAATTCTTTTAAGTGAATCTCACCAATAGTTGACAATCAAATTTTGTTCAACAGTCAAGGTTCTGTCAAGGATATATGCCATTCTTTTACATATTTTTCTTTTATTAAAAAATGAATTTTTTTCACGTCATGTGTCCTGATTATGGTTTCCTCTCACCCAACTCATCCCAGTTCATCCCCATTTCCTGTCTGGATCCACCAGGTTCTGTCTCTCATTAGAAAGCAAGCATGCTTCTATGGGATGCTATTACAATAAAATATAATGTAGGCATCTCTTTTTTAGCTTAAGAGAATTATCTTTCTCCCTGTCATGTCAGAGGAGGGGCTGAGGGATCCACAGGGGAAAAGAAAGCAGGATATTCCACCAGGATCTGCTTAGTGCCCTATGCTCTAATTTAAGAAAAGTGGCACATGAGAGAAAGACATGACAGGGTTCAAGCAGAGTTGTTGCTGTTGTTGTTGTTGTTGTTTTAATTAGGGAAATGGATCATAAAAAAGGGAACTAGCTATTGGAGACAGGAGCAGCAACAGAGAGGAGAAAGGAAAGAGTGGGAGAGAGAAAGGGAGAGAGAGAGGAGGATGGGATGTGGGCAGGGCCCTTTTAAAGGGAAACATAGTGAATGTGCACAGGTGGTGCTCTTAGTAGGGTCAAGTGAGGGCGTATCCTGTCAGAACCCCAAGGACAGGCCAGTGCAGATGCCTGAATACTACAACCCGGGAATAGAGGCAGAGAGTGAGCAGAGGTTACAGCAGGTGCTCTACTGCACAGCTGGGGATGGGACTTGTGGTTTGGATTTGGAGCACTGGGAGATAAACATCTGTAGTTTGCCTAGTTGCTTCTCTGCCATTTTGAATTTCAATATTCAAATATTCCATAAGGCTTTTCTGAAGACAAACACACACTTTACTCTACAAATGCTTCTATATTGATCTAATGTTTGTATTAGTTGGGTTTTGTTAAGATTGAATTTTATTATAATATAGCCACATAAAAATGTTCAATTTAATTTTGTTTTTCATCTAGCACTTTTTTGAAGACCCTGAAGGAAAGATTGAATTACCACCATCATTGAAAGTCTTTTCCTGGAAACGTCCACAAGATTTTATATTTAGCCGAGTAAGAATTGTTTTCATTATTGAATGAAATACTTATTTCCTAAATGATGGGATATCTTCATGACCAAAGTTTGTATTCTTCAAGTAATTTACAGTGTTTTTCCTGTGATCTATAGCAAAAGTAATTGCTTTTTAGCCTCTAACTCAGAATTTCATATGTGGCAGTATATTTTAATAATCCCTTTATTGGTGGGACTATGGAGATGGCTCCTTAGTTAGGTGCTTTCTGTGCAAGCATAAGGACTTCAATCCCCAGAAACCATTTTCACCTGGATATGGCAGTGTTACTTGTAAACACTCTGGGGCTCACTAGCCAACCAGCCTAGCTGAATTGGTGTATTTCAGGTAAAAGTAAAACCCTGACTCAAATACCAGAGTGGTGAATGACTGAGGAAGACACATAAGGTTGCTCTCTGCTCTCCACACATCCCACCCAGGTGTCACAACAAACATACATGGACAGGCACATGTGCACACACCGCACGCACACACACATACACACACATACACACACATACACACACATACACACACAGAATAATAACAATTCTTGTATAGATTTCAAAGACATTACTGTGTTTTGGTTTTCAGGATTGATTTTTCTACTTCAATCCAAAATGTGGCACAGAATAATAACAATTCTTGTATAGATTTCAAAGACATTACTGTGTTTTGGTTTTCAGGATTGATTTTTCTACTTCAATCCAAAATGTCAAATTATAGCCAAAAATGTTGTGCAAAGTTATTTGTATTTCTGACTAGCAGATTTGCTCCACTCTGCATCTCAGTGTGAAATCGTAGGGCATGAAGGTCTCTTTCCTCCAGTGTTTATTATAATTAATTTTCCAGTCCAAGAGATTTACACATTGGTTCCCATCTTCCAGGGATCCTCCAAGCATCTTCTGAAGTTTGTCTCCATTTCTAGCCTCCATGCTCAGTCAGTTGAATCATACATTTGTGGACTCACCTTCATTTTAAACAGCTCTCACATACTTTAGACCCTCTATTCTAATACCTTAATAGCCACATTAATTTGAGTGTATTTCTTGTCTGCAGGGTTTTAATTATCACTAATGCTTTTTCCCTTGCTGATTTTCTTACTGTTTTCATTGAATGCATAGAACACCAGTAGGGTAAATTAATTAGCACCAGTCAAATAATTTGTAATGGAGCCGATTCTTGTGTGCATTTGCAGTCTATTGAGTCTCTGTTTCCCCACAAAATAGTGTCTATCCTCAAGGTGTTAGCCTTCATCAGTGTTGGTACTAATGCAGGAAAATGTAAATTTACTAAAACAACAGTGTCTTTTGAATCTTTCCTTGTAAGACATTTCAAGTAAGTCCATTATGTACAAAACATGCTTCCAAATCAATTTTAATTTTGAGCAACATTGACATGAATATAAATTCTCTGCTGTTTACATAATGCACTTGACATTGATAGGTCTTTAAAATATCATATTCTGCTTACTGTAAGTTCATCTTGATGTTCCATGTAAAAATGGTCTTACAAATTGAATAAATAGATGTTTTAAGAACAATTTCCTCTCCTTTTTAGTAGACAGTGAGTCTAAGAGTTAACATTTGAACTAAAAATCAATTCAGTCTTCCCTGATAACCTCTCCACCTCTATGTATCTTTACAGGCCGTTATCCTTCACAAAGCTTCCTCTCTTAATGGATCATTCTAGAATGGGGCCCAGAACTTCCAGAAGTGAAAGTCTAACTAAGAAAAGCCCTAGGTTTCAAGATTTGATGTATAGATTCACAATAAGACTCATTAAGTATACTGATAAGCAAGGTTAAAGCAAACGAACAATCCTGTAAAATAATGACCTTCTTGTATAAGATTTGGTCTATGACACCTTCCTTTCCTCCCTCCAGCTGTTTCATGAAGCCAATCTTATTTTTTCTTTTTAAAATTGCAACATTTCACCCTTCCCTTTCCTCTCTCCAAATACTTCTGTATACCTCTTTTTATTAGTTGCTGTTATATGCATATATGCATGTGTGTATACATATATATTCCTAAATGTAACCTGCTGAGTCTGAATAATGTTGCTCCTATGTATGCTTTTCAGTAAAATTGTTTAAAGAAAGGTCTGATTGCCCTGACCCTACTTCCTCCCCTTGGGAGCCACATTTTCCTGCAAATAAATGGCTGTTCAGTACTCTTGGAATCAGGGCTTTTTCTCACAACACCTAACAGGGGCCCTCTTCCTTGCTGAGAAAGGGTCCTAATGTGTACAAATAGTTTGATTTCTCTGGAGGAAAGGCCTTTGTGTGATGTTTTATAAGATCAAAGGTTACAATGTAAAACTCTGCACCTGGCATGATAGAATTCCAGCCTTTGAATTTACAGACCCTATCCTGCTTTGTCTGGCTTTGAGAGTTTTCCCAGGCACTAGCCTGATCTGCATCAGTCTCCTAGAGGACTCAATGTATTCATTATTGGCTTAATGAAGTGTGGTGATCTTTAACACTCTGGAGTAAATTATATCATTCCAGACTTTTGGTAATAGACTACTTCTCCCACAAAACTGTCTTTTAATAATGTAGGTTCCTTTTACCTTATTTTTTAAAACAAATAAATACCTATGTCTACATTTTTAATTTCAGCCTCCTGTAGTTGTGAAAAATGAATTGATGTTTGACTTGTTTTCACCAAATGAACATTTACTCTGCAGTGAGGTAAGTAGGGCCACAGGGCCCACTGTTCCATTGAGGAATGTCTTCCAGGCCTGTCTACACAAACAGCTCCTGGACAGCCATTGGCAACTCACACTGTTCTCTTTAAGTCATGATATGATGGATTTGGGGAGGGGGTATTTTTATTTTTCCAACTTCTTTGAAGTATAGTTGTAATTAAAAATTGGATCTATTGATATATTTGTAGATTATAATCTTAGTAATTTAATATACATACACAGTACACACACACACACACACACACACACACACACACACACAAAGATCAGTGTCAAGTTTACCTTTTTAGGCCTTTTAATTTCTATTGTTATCATATCTCATGAAAACAAAATCAAGACCTATGATTTTTTTCTATAGCTCAGAAATAAAAATTATGAAAATTCTGTATGTAAAATTTATTATTACTTTTAGAAACATATTCTTACCATAGTTCACTTAGAACTGCAATGCGCATGATTTAAAAGTAATCTTATCAATACGTGTGGCTTTTGTTGTTTTGTGTTCAGCTTATGAGGTGGATTATCAGTGAAATCTACGCTGTGTGGAAGATATTCAATGGAGGGATTCTGAACAATTACAATAAAGGAAATTCGGGAGAGCTTCCTATCCTGCTCTGGAAGCCCTGGGAACACATATACTCTCTCTGCAAGGCTGTAAAGGGCCACATACCTTTGTTTAACAGCTATGGGAAGTATGTTGTGAAGCTTTACTGGATGGTAAGTAATTCAAGATGCTGTGCCTTTGAATTCTTCTGTCCTTCCTATTTAAATAAGAAACGAGAATTAAACAAACAAACAAAAAAACCACTTTTATTTTGCACAGGCAATCTCAGATTTTCTCTAGGAAGGTTCACCCTCTGTGTGAACACAGGTAGGGGTGTGGCTGGGCGTGGAGTTCAGTGATTGGCAGTGGGTCTTCACTGGTCTCTTCCAAAGAGCAGCTTGCAGGGGGGCTGCGCAGCAGGCAAGCACTGAAACTCAGCCATTTCCATGTGGGTTACTTTTACTACCTTGCTGTAGATTAACGGCTACTTGTTTTTCCAGTTGATAGAAGACTGTTGTCTCTCAGGGAGGGAAGAACTTCTACCTCTTTCCAAACAACCCCAAGCTGTGAGGGTCCATCCATACCAGTGTGTACACATTGTTATTAGTAGAGACTTTAAGTAAATTCTTTCTGACTAGATAATCCGCTCCCCTTTTCTGTCCATTTCTAGACACAAAACTTCTTTGTTTCGATTTTGAAAATTATCTTCCAGTTCTCATGCAGCACTCATACTCATCTATCCTTTGCTTCATCCTGCAAAGATTTAGAAACATGATGCTAAAAATAGGCGGCTCCCTTCTGCTGATTCAATGCGACAGGCACGATTTTGTACTCTGTTGATGTTCCACTCTTTGCTTTCTCTTCTGCCATGTTTTCTTTTCACTCCGAGAGCGATTTCATTTCCCTGCCTTGTTACAGACATTCTTTTCCTTCTTTTCATGGGTCCCTCAGAGCCCTTTTCCTCATGACTTCTTGGAGGCAACTTCTTGGGACCTTTAATATTTAAGATTCTGATTTTTTAAAAACTGTTTTTAGTGATGCAGGCCTGTTATCTCCCAGACTCAAGAGGTTAAAGCAGAAGGTCCTGAAGTTCAAGGCCTGTCTGGGCTATGGCTTAGAGTCAAGGCTAGCGTGGGCAATTACTCAAAATAAAAGTTAAAACAAACAAACAAACAAACAAACAACCCAATTAATAATATGGCTAAATGGTAGAGTGTTAGCCTGACTGTAAAGTTCTGGGTCCAATCTCCAGTACTTGGATTGTGATTTTTCATACCAGGGCACTATTTCTCTGCAAAGTGTTTACATTACATTCAGCCTGGATTCTCAGCTAGTTGTCCAAGGTTCTTTGACATCAGGGAGTCAGAAAACTTACTAGGTCACCCTAAGAACAGTACAGAAATTTGAGAGTTTGGTGTTCTTTTCCATCTGGCTATAAGACAGGAAGCAGGGATACTCTGCATCTTTCTAACTACTTTCCAATTTCCATATTGCTTTGGCTCCGAGTAGGAGAGAGAAGCAATTTAGCTGTTGTTCTCCAGCCCGTTGTGGGCAGCCTCCCTCTATCCCTATGCCTTTGTTGCTTCTGGTAAGCAAATAGCACATACAGCGAGAGCAATAATCACCCCCCAGGTTGTTAGCAATGTATTTATGTGAAAACTGTTTTTGTTTGTCTTCCTCACTGAGCTTTACAGTTTCATTTACACTGTACAGCAAAACTCCAGCACAGACATATGAGGATCTCAAATCCCTGCTTCCCATGCCCCACCCTCTCCTTGGCCAGCTGAACCCACTTAGGAGCAGAGGCTGCAATATTGTTTTGTTTTATGCTGCATTGTTTTGAGACTGAGTCTCATTTGCACTAGCTGTTCTTGAACTCACAATGTAGGATGGCCTTGGAGTGTCTGTCCTCATCTCCCATCTGCTGTGATAGCCATATCAGCCATCAAGCAACACTTATAATCCTGTTTTTAAAATAAATTTTCCATAAAATTTTTATTAATTAAACTTAATGAACAATGCATTTAATACATTAAACAATGACAATGTCAAATGCTTTTTGTATTACTCGATTACTATATCCCTTCCCAAAGAAATGCTACATTTAAACTTTCTTATGATTATATATGCTTTTAGTGGGCAAACTCAAACACTATTAACATATTCAATATAGAAAATCAGAGTTCTTTATAACATTAGCATATTTAGACAATCACAGACAATGATTCAGGTATTTCTCCAATACTTTACTGTGTTTTTATAAGCATACATAGACACATTGTATACCAGAATGGTCAAATAATGCAGTTCTGTACCTGCCCACTCATTTAACCATGCACATTTTCTATGCTGACATAATCTTGTATATTCTGTACACTATTCTGTGGACATATAAGCAAATGCATGCAAATTTGTATTAAATTTCCATTAATAAATGCTTAATCTGCACACGAGGAGCTTTGTGTGTATGTCTTGTCTCTAGTATTTCTGCATGTGAAATTACTCCATTATGAATGTGAAACTGTTCATTTTGGTAAGTATATTCAAATTATTGATTTTAATTTGGGTTTAGAAGTCATTTATACCATACAGAATCACAAATTAATTTGCCATTTTATTCTTTGTTACCATTCTTATTTTGAAATTTGTTTACCTATTCTGACTTGCTGTGTTTCTCTTGAGTGATCTTTGGGATTATTTCTGGTTTTTCATATACTCTGTATATTTATTTTTCCAGAAATTAAAATGTATACAGAAATCTTTACATAGCCCTTAATAGCAGTATTCTATCACTTGAACTCGCATTTTAATACCTTGCCATCATTTCAGACATCTCCCCTTTCTGAGACAGTTTTCTTATATATTTTCTGAATATCTTCAGAACATCATCATAAAATTCTTAAAGATTTATTTTTATTTTTAGTTAAATTTATGCCTCTCCCTCCCTCTCTTTCTCTCTCTCTTTCTCTGTGTGTGTGTGTGTGTACACTGTGTATGCAGGTGCCCATGGGGGCCAGAAGGGAACGTAAGATATTCTGGAGCTGGAGGTACAGGTGTTGTAAATTGCCTGATATAGGTGCCAAGAACAGAACTCTAGTCTTCACGATTGAGTAGCAAGAGATATTTACCTCTTTTTCTCTCCAGACCACATCATAAATTTGGCTTTAATATTCAAATAGAATTCTAAAAAATCAAGAAAACAATAACTCTCTCATCTTGCCTAGGTGTTAATTCTTTTTCTTTAGCTTTCTTCATGCCTCATGTGCTGTTTGCTTTCATTCAGTTTTTCCTTCCTGGAGAATCCGCCCATTTCACTGTGTCTGAGTCAGTGTCTTGATAAGAAATCGCCTCATTTTCTTTCTTTCTGAGACTGATTTTAGTTCATTCTTATTCCTCAAGGATGTTTATCCTGGTACCAGAGCTTAAGCTGGCAACTCTTTCTGTCAGCAGTGGGAGATGGTACTCACCACGCTGTCCAAGGAACACTGTACTCAGCCTTGCACATAACCTGTCTGTTCTGACTTAGGCTTCTGAGATTTTATATTCTGTTTTCGATTTTCGGAGATTTGATATTGATAGATCTGTCTGGCTGTGGATTTATTTGCATTTATCCTGTTTGAGTAATTCTAGGCTTCTTTAATTCACAGGGTTTTATTTTAGGAAAAATTAGGGAGTTTCAACCATAATTTCTCCAAATGTATTTTTAGATCTTCTCTCTCTCTCTCTCTCTCTCTCTCTCTCTCTCTCTCTCTCTCCTTCGTATTTTGGTGTCTCCAAAACATGGATATTGAATATTTTTGTGCCATCCCTCAAGTCTGAGTCTTATATCATTCTTTATTAATTTTTAGTGTTCACTTTGGTAATTTCTGTGCTATCTGTAGTCTATTGTTCTCACTGAGGGAGGAGTCTTTAATTTTGATTTAATATTTTCTACTTTCTTCATCTTTGCTAAGAGTTTCATTTAAGAGGTTTCACAATTACTTGGTGGGATATTATTAGGATTATTGCTTTAACTCTCTTATTTCATGATTTAACTTTCTGCCCTATGGGGTATTTTCTGAGTGCATCTCCTGGGGAATAGTGACATCTCAGGCTCTGCATGCACAGGAGAAAACTCACTTTGTAACTTCAGTGGAGGTGCAGGGTAAAGTCAGATCCAGCCCAGTCACTCAACTGTTTGCTGAGATAACCTTCCAATGATGACTTGATTTTTTTTTCTAGTTGTAATTCATACTATAAATTTAAATAATGTATTATGCTTTCAGCATGCTTATAGAAGGAAGATAGCATAAACCCAATCATTTACCTACAACTCAATTGTGTAAAACATTAAAATTTGAATATGGTAATATGCTAGAATATTCATGATTTATATTTGTAGTTTTATTTATTCCACTAATTTATATTTATAAATCTATATTGCTTTTTTGCATCATGGAAAGAGAAATACCTTACAGAAGTGATTACAAGAAGAAAGATTTACTTTTGCTCACTATTTCAGTGGGCTCAGCCCACTGGTGGGAGGATATTGTGGAGCCAAGTAGACCATGCCATGATGGGCGAGTAAGCGGAGAAGGAAATGCTGCCTTTGGTTGTTTTCTCCTTTCCCCCTCTTCAATTCTACCCAGACCTCCCAAGTAGTACCACCTACATTGAGGGTGGGTCTTGTCATTCATCTTCTTTGGAATCATCTGCTTTAGCATATTGACAGGTGTGCCTAACTAAGCTCCCAGGTAATCCTACTCCTACATGAGTAGACAATGAAAGTTAATGATCACAGAGGATGCCTCTTTAAAAGTATCTTTAAAACTTAAAAACTTCGAGATTTGGTGCTAATAAACATTTTTCAAATAGCCAATGTATGATTTATATAAAAAATAGTAATGTATCACATCCAAAAATCAGTGTTCAATGATGAGTTATTAAATCTTATACAGTATACATATATTTATTTAAACTACTATAATAAAATACTATATACTGTGATATATCATGCAACTTACCAACCATTAGTATTCAGGCATCTGTACTGGCCTGCCCTTGGGGTTCTGACAGGATAGGCCTTCAGCTGCAGCCACTAAGAGCACCACCTGTGCACATTTACTGTGTTCTCTTTTAAAAGTGCCCTATCCACTTCCCATCCTTCTCTCTTTCTTTTTTTCTTTCTATGTCTGTTTCTCTCTGTGTGTCTGTCTCTCTCTGTCTCTCTCTTCTTCTTCTTCCTTCTGTCTTCTTTTTCTTCTGTCTTCTTTTTCTTCTTCTTCCTTCTTCTTCTTCTTCTTCTTCTTCTTCTTCTTCTTCTTCTTCTTCTTCTTCTTCTTCTTCTTCTTCTTCTTTTTCTTCTTCTTCTTTCCTTTCTCCTCTCTCCTGCTGCTCCTCTCTGGAGGAAGCTAGTCTCCTCCCTTCCCTTTCCCCCTTTTAAGATCCCATTCCCTAATTTAAAAAACAAAAACAAAAAAACCTTTGCTTGAACCTTGTCACATGGCATCTTTCTCTTGCATGCCATTTTTCTTAAATTACAACCCCAACATCAGAAATTGCTGGACATGCAAGTAATCAGATGATTATATAACCTCACATGACACAAGAGAACTCAAATTTTTATCCATTTACAAGGATACAAATAATTTCATGAACCCACAACCCTTACAATTTAATCATCTTTCAAAGGCCTCACCCCTAGTACCAACATTTTGGCTGTTAAATTTTCAACATAATTTTAGAGGGCAAAATAACCATCTATAGATATTACCTATGCAGTGAGCCCAGATATCTCAGTCAGTAGACCATCAGAAATTACCTATGCATACACAAATACATGAAATATTCAAGAAAGGGGGTCAACCAAAGTATAATATCAATGAATCAAAATATTACCAGGAGGACAGTTAGAAGTCTAGTCAAATTATACTTTAGAAACGTATACAATACTGAATGTTCACCCTTTGTTATAATAAACTTTTTATGCAGTAGACTTTTTTGAAATATAATTGCATACAATGTAGTGTGCACAGTTCAATAATCAAAGCAGTCTGAGTTGAAAAATGTCTTTGAGCTTCTGACTAGAGTGGGAACTATTGAACTGCTTTAGTATAATTATCAAGGATAGTTTAAAATTCTTCTTTCATGGAATTCTAGTTTGCCATTTCAAAACATGATTTGCAATCAAAATGTGAGAGGGGACTTACCACTGCTATTTCCTTATTGTGCCAAAATAAGCCAATTTGACATGCCATTTTAACCATTTAAGGGTAAAATTAAGTATTTTCACAGTTTGTGAAAACTGTCACTACTTCTTTCCTGAACTTCCCATCATCTGAAACAGAGACTTTGTACTCAATAAATGGTGACTTCACATTACTCCCCACTGTGTCCCTTGGTGACCACTTTCTGGCTCTATGAGTGCCCTAATTTCATTTCTGTGTTTGTAAAAAATTATCCTGGCAGAAAGCAACATAGAGGTGAAAGGGTTTATTTGTCTTACAATTATTACACATTAGAGTTTGTTGTTGCAGGGAAGCCAAAGCAGCTAGTTACATTACATCAGTCAAGAGTTGAAAGAAGTGCATACAGGCTTCGTGCTCAGCTAGCTTTCTCTGTTAATAGTCCAGGGAGTGGCACCACCCTCTTTTGGGCTGCGTATTCCCACCTAGGTCAATCCAATTAAGTAAAAGTTCTTCACAGGCCAGCCTGATAATGGCTCACTGAGACCCTCTTTCCAGGTAGTTCTAGCTTGTGTCAAGTTGACAGAATCAGCCATCACAGTGAGCGTGCCCTTTTAAGGGTACTTAAGTGAGTGAAGCACTTGTAACTTAAAGTTACATGAGTTAGGTTGCCTTTAACCTGTAGTGTTAATTCTATCTTGCCATGCTTTATCTATTGAGGGAGAAAGATACAGATACTAATAAATAAGGTAATATTGAATTCAGGGTTACAAGCACCATACAAAGAAAATATTTCAATGCCACTTCCATATGGCTTCCTTCTAGGAAAATGAGTTGCATTTTTCTTCTGGTCCTAGAAAGCTTTGAATCTATATATATATATATATATATATATATATATATATATATATATATTTGTTAACACAAGAATGAATTCATAAGAATCCAGGCATGTAAGCTAACACAAAACAATCATAATTTAAGATCATTTGTTTCATTCTTTTAATTATGAAATGAAGAGCTTTTTATTAAACATATAATGGTTTGATTAAAGAACATATTAGTTTACTTTGTGTTGAAAATTGGATCATTAACTAGGATTACTGAAATTATGGGCTTGGAAGTCTAAGATTAGGAAGCACATATCTGCATCAGTAGTAAGTATTAAGTAATATTTAAAGAATTTTTACTGTGAGTACACAAAGTATATTATGCTCAATCTTATTTATGGTTGAATCATAGTTTCATTCTGTTATTTGAAACATATTTACTTTGTAATATGCTCATAAGATCTCCAAAAGAAGGAATGATATTAATATTACTATAGTTACATGATAATAATATATTTCAGAAGCTATAATAGTCAACCAGATTAGTTATGAAACCTGTATCTCAGCTTTCAACATGAAATGTTAACACCAGATTTTTGTTTGTTTGACAAAAGTAAGTAGAAATATGTAGTAATGTTGAGGGGAGAATGCTGTAAATCACTGATGATGTTACATTGCCTTCTTCTCATCTTTAGGGTTGCTGGAGAAAGATAACTATTGATGACTTTTTTCCATTTGATGAGGATAACAATCTGCTGCTTCCAACTACAACCTATGAGTTTGAACTCTGGCCAATGTTACTGTCTAAAGCCATCATTAAGTTGGCAAATGTTGAGTATGTATTCAGAAATTATCATGCATTATTGTGAAAATAAAAGGGCACCTACAGCCACATTGAGAGCCTTTTAAAAATTCAAGGACTTTTTTTTTCTAAACAATGTAAATTTTCAAGTATATAAGTTAAGGTGACCCATGCACTGGTTTGGAGTATTGGCTTAACTGGGTAAGGGACAAAACCATCCCAAGAAAGAACATGCAAAAATCATTCCATTCTCAATGCTTTCTTACTAGGAGTCAAAAGTATATCATGAGAAATATTTTGTTTTAACGAGGGAAATTGTTTATTAGGGGAAATATTAAATCATCTAAATACTAAGATCCAATTAGTGTTTTATGATCTGTATACGCAGCAATACTGTATAAACCCTAAAAAGACTGAGCTCATCAGGAGGCCAAAGTGCTCTTGAGGCTTTTGCCCTCATTGGCCATCTGATAGCATCATGATGGAAACTACTCATTTGTTTAGTATGTTTGCAAAGTGTGTTTATATTTATCTACCTACAAGATTTTGCACTCAACATAGAAGTCTGCCACATCGTACAAACAAGCCTTTCTTCCATTCTGGTCCTTTCAGGATAACTCAAAATGAAAACAGGGCTCAGATAGGAGTAGATGTGCTTGGCAACTCTACTACTCAGTGGCCACATCCTCACTCACACTGCAGGAGCCCGATCCCATAACCTCCTGCAATGCAGTATGACAAAGCAACTCCATCCTTCACAGACCTCACCCTCCTGCTTTAGCAGACCCCTAAACCCTGTGCTCAAAGCTCAGCCCCTCCCCTTCCCTAAGAAACATTAGCAATACCATGGAGATGCCAGGGCTGCTTTGTGTAGATAGCCCCTTGACTCTGACTCCTTTTGTCTCTAAAGGCTACAGAACAAAACAGCCACCACTATTGTCAGCCTCCTCATTTTTCTTGCTAAACCCCAATTTCTACTGATAATTTGTTTCACTCAGTTTTCAGTCCTACATTTCAATGATTTTTGTAAAACTTTTACCCAGATTATTTTTCTTTTAGGCAGGTAAATATTACTGAGTATTTCCACTGGTGGCAGTTGTATCTGTTTGTTTGGGAATAAAATAAGTACAATGCTCTTAGTGTTCCTAAGAATTGGAGCAAGGCTGGCACAGCATTGAATAGATGACCCGGATAGCTGCAATAGCATTACATTCATTGTAAAGCCATGGTTCAGTGGAATTCATTAAAAACACAACTAATAGAATTATTCTTTTAAAATAAACAAACAAAGCCAGCTTGGAAATAAAGGACTAATTAAAGTATACTGCATTTAAATTTTTTCTAATAGAAACCGCCTTATATGATGTCATTTATATTTTTCTATAAATTCATCTCAGATTTGGTTTTATATGTGAGGCTTAGCATTCTACAGACAAACCTAATGTAGTGTTTTACATACCCATGTGGAGCATGGAGAGAAAAGAGCACCATTTCCATAAGGCTTACAAAGTCACTCATAAAATGAAATTACCAGAGGCATTTAGGGGAGACAGTGAAACACACACCAGATTCATGTTGTCTTTGAGAAATGTAGCATTCTCAGGATCCATAATCCATTAAATAAGGCAGTGCAAATCCATAAACAGTGGGCTACATCATTGATAGGCTATGAATTCTTTCAGAAGGGAAGGATGTGTTGGTCAGTCAACATCATGAGCACCATGCCTGGCACAGGGTAGACTGTGCCTTCACTCTGGGGTGGAAGGGGCTATGATATTTTCTATGTAGACTAATGTACATGTAAACACACTAACTACCCAAGGAAATCACACATAGGCAGAAGGACTAAAGCACAGCATGGTACCTGGCTAAAGGCAAGCTCTCACTTTATGTCACCCTGCCAGGTGTACTCCTTTACAGGTTGGAACATATATTTGTTTTCTCCTCCACTGTTAAGATTTCACTAAGGATTCCTCTGACTTATCTTGAGTTGCCTTGTGAACATCTCAACATCATCTCTGCAGTTAGAATGGTAAAACCGCTCCCCTTTGAAGAGAACAGAATCACACACAGAACATACTATTGAGTTAACACAATTTTGCACTATATAATATGAGTATGTTTTATGTTTTGGAAATTAGTGGAATTTTGCAGCTTTTAAAGAACAGTTCCTAATATGTGACACCCTTGTCAAAAGAAAACAACAAAAGTCATATAATCATGTTTTCAAAATATATTTGAAAACTTAGTATTGGGTTTACTTAGGCCTTTTTAAACAAATTAAAAGCATCTGGCTTGTGAGATGACATTCTGTTAGACTGTGATATGCAGCTGGTATGACCCCCTACATAGATTATGCTAAGATTCTGTGCAGAGTGTATCCTAGTCTTTATTTACTGCTGTGCATTTCCAATCATCAATAACTATAGCACCATGCATTTCTTTTCAGCATTCATGTAGCACAGAGGAGAGAGCTTGGAGAATTCACAGTTATCCATGCACTTACCGGGTGGTTACCTGAAGTCATTCCTCTTCAGTAGGTTTTCTTTTTCTTAAAGAAACATTGATTTTTTTTTTTTTTTTTTTTTTGGTGTGGGGGGGGTGGGGGGGGGTTGGGTGGGGGCAGAGAGTTGGTGTGTTAAGGTATAAAGGTATATGTCAGAAGACAACCTGAGGGCTCTAGGGATTAAATTATGGTCATCGGGTGTAGCAGCAAGCACCTTTTGCCCACTGAACTAGCCCACCAGCCCCTCTTCAGTAGGTTTAAGGACTAAGTTGCTCATATTATTGTTTTTCTTCCTTTCTAACATTTCTTTAAGAATACTGCAAGAATGGTCATGTTTTACAGAATGTCTGGGAGCAAGGCATTTTGTAGTATTTAAAATTCCTTGGGAATTTTAGAATAAATTTTTCCTCCTTATAAAGCGGAATAACCACTGGATTCTTTGTTGAATCAAGCAAAGAAATCAAGCAAAAATCTTTTGTGTTTATCTACCTGCAAGAATTATGCACCCAGCACACAGAAGGCAAGTCTGCCATGTTGTGCAGACCAACCTTTCTTCAGTTCTGGTCCCAGCACATAGAAGGCAAGGCTGCCATGTTGTACACACTAGCCTTTCTTCAATTCTGGTCCTTGCAGTGCAACTCAAAATGCCAGTGAAGCTCAGAGGCTAGGGTTGGAGGTACATGACAACAGTACAGCACTGCTCTGTGGGAGCTTCCTCACATACGCTACACAAGCCTAGTCCATACCTTCCTGCAGTGTGTCACAGCAATGCCATCCTCCACAGAGTTCACCTGCGTGCCTCAGCACCCCCTTCTGTAGGAAGCAAGGCTTTTTGATAGGCATGTTTCATACATGCTCGGGCCCCCCACCCCCCAGGAAACATAGCTTTTTGATAGGTATGTTTCACATGCTAGGAGACATCCAAACACTTTAATAGATAGCCCTGAACCTAAGCTTGAACAGCATCTTCAGCAAAGAACATGCTTTGTTAGAGAAATGGCAAGACAAAGGAAAAAAATCTTGAGTTGCTTCAGGTGGCAATCTTGGGAAGGCAAGAGACATCTCTATGGAGGCGTGCTCCATAGAGAACTCTGATACTGTCTGGAGCCCCGTTCAGTCCACAGTTGTCTTCAGTGGTCACTCTTTGCTTGCTGTGTTTAGCACAGTGACACTGAAAACCTGTCATGGAGTGTGTCCCCAATCAGTATTCATGAACTGAGTTAGTAATTTGTAAAGTATTTTCAAAGGCTTTCTAAAAATGTGTAAACAGTTCTTCAGGCTCTCAAAGCAGAAGCATGTAGCTTGCCTGCATCCCCACAACGAATGTTTACACTAACTTCAAAGGATTCATTGAAATAAATGTGGGTGATTAGTGTGGGAAAAATCAACTCAGAACAGAGTAACAGGGAAGTAGGATAGACAACGTATGATCCCAGAAAAGTGTGTGGTTTTTAAAACTGGATTATATGCTAGTGAATTCTAGAGGACAAATGTCATAGGAACTAGGGAGGAGCCTCATAGTTAAAGGCCTTTGATACCATGTTAAAAATTCTCTCACATCATCAGAGGGTGAAGATATCATTGGAAAGTTCTACTCAGGAAGGTGCCTTTGTATACATATGGTATTTACACATGGATATATATATAATATATATATATATATATATATATATAGTATATATATAGTGCATACACATGTACAGTATATATGTATATGCTGTATTCATGTATAGTACACACACAACACACACACACACACACACACACACACACACACACACACTTATATACAGAAAAACGTTTTTACCATGCCTGTCTCCTCTGCCAAGCTTAACTGATCCACTAGTTTTGGTCTCTGTATCATCAAAGACTGGCACATAGTAGGAATACAATAAAAGTATGGTCAATGAATAATATTTCTAACTAAAAGTTAAGGTAACAATTGAAATTAGTCTAATAATCTAAGAAGTTAATTAGTCTGTTAATATCTTCTTGAAATCAGGTAGAAAAGGATCATCTGGGAATTAATTCAAATGTGTTTCCTCTCAGTCCAGGGTATGTAGACCGAGTTTGGGAGCTCTTGAAGGAAATATTGCCTGAGTTTAAGCTCGCAGAAGATCACAGTTCTGAAAGCAAAATTGCAGTGATAGACAACAAACTGAAGGAACCTGGGAAAGAGATGAAGGATAACAAGGAAGTGAAAGATGGAAAGGAAGTGAAAGATATGAAGGATTTCAAACCAGAATCTTCCCTAACAGCCCTGAAGGCACCAGAGAAAAGCGACAAAAATGTGAAGGGTAAGACATTGGAAGTTATGCACAAGGGCATGGCATAGAGATGCTTTACAGTCCCTGTCGAGGCTAATGATACTTTTTTGATGTTTTAACTCTCCCTTTGATTTTTAGAAATCTCACTGATGTGGACTATAGGTAATTATTGCCTCAAACCTCCCTTTCAGTAAATATTAAAGACAATTCCTAATTTTGCTAATATTAAATTACTGCTGTATTAGAAGGAGGCAAGATACTGAAGTCTAAATCTCTATTAAGATATTTTTCTCATATTTATATGCAGAGTGGGATGGACCCACACAACAAAATAAAAAATTTACCTTGTCATTTTCAGAGAATGAGATAAGAGCATAGGTTACATAAATTACAAATATATCATAAGATGGAGGTTCAAATCTGAAGAATAATTTTAAATTATTTTTGTAACGTGTATAGTCATTTCTATTTTCAAGATGAAAAGTTGATTGAATAATTATTTATTCTGTATCTACTGAACTATCATAATTATGTATATGAAGAAACTGCTTGTGAAGTAGAATTACTTCTACTAGGAAGCACTCAAGTATTTCTGAATATTTTGGTTAAATGTTCCTTTGGATATTTATGTTTTACAATGTATTAGCATTTTGTCAGGATTATTCTTTATCAAGATTGTTTCTAACCAGGGAGGGAGAAAAACAGGAAGATCACAAATTGTAGCCAGTCTGGGCAACCATGTGAGCTATGGTGAGACCTTGCCTCAATCCAAAGGTTATAAGGCAGTGCTGTAACACTTGCCTCGCATAGGCAAGGCCTCAATTTTCATTCCCTGCTCTGAAAAGGAAAAGAAAAACTGACTGAAGATCTTTTCTGCCAGTATTTCTTACCATGTATTATATAGAAAATTTTACTTCAGATCTTCAAAAATGTATCAAGATCAGAGGTCTGAGCAATGTGTACCCACCCAGGCCTATCTTGATGAAAATAAGCAATAAAGAATGTGAGTGGATTCATTTCTTTCAGTATGTTCCCAATTAATTTTCTTCTAGAAGCCCTTTTTAATGTTTCACAAATTAACATCCAGGCATCTAACCATTAATACTCATCTAAATATACTTTTTGCTGATAAAAGTCCTGGTAATTTTCTAGGAATTGGTGAGAAACTTGGTAAATAGAAACATGTGGAACTGCCCACCTTCTGAACCTGACAGTCTAGTGGGAAACACTGACGAATAACATGGAAGCTATGCAAGTCAGACACTGAAAAATGAACTTTGAAGTAAGACGTAGGAGGCCACGGCAGTTAGCACATGGTACCAATGACTGGCTGACGAGGGAGAGAAAAGAGTAGCCTGAGAAGTAGGGCAAGAAAAGACAAGTGTGCCAGCATTGAAATCAAGGGGGAAGTTCCTTCAAGAATAAGAATGGTTGTATACAATATTGCAGTGAGATGAACTGTGATGTGAACTTCAGTTTCTCCTCCAGATAGTTGGATGTGGTAGTTAGTGGACACTGGGAATGGAACATATGGAAAGCTGTGGAAGACAGCCAAGGAAACAGGAAGAGTATAATGTGCAGACAAGTCTGTGAGAAATTCGGCCTTGAAGAACAACAGAGTAATAAAGTGGAAGCTCATGGTTATTAGAGAGAGATACACAGGCTATGTATTTGTTAATATAGTGAAAGAGAACTGAGCAGTTCCACAGGGTGGTCCTCCCATCACTCTCATTTTAAATGGATATTCCTAGGATCCATGAAGAACTGTTGAGTTCTCCTCAGCCCTGGGGAAGATTTGCTTCATTCTAATGCTTAGGCATAGGTTGTATAGCCATGGGGTGAACAGATACAGGGATAGGTAAATCGGCAAGCTTGATTTGGAAGAGGTTGAGGATTTCTGACAAAAAAATATTGAATATTCTCTGGTTCTGGGAAGCCTATGAGCTGAGAATGAAGTTGAGATGGAAGATGGAGACTTGATGGAAATTCAATAGCAAAGTGGTGATGTTTGTGAACTAGGAAAGGATAGCATTCAGCTGATAAGATGTTTATAGTGAGGCTTGCCAAAATCATGGAATTAAATGACAGATGACACTTAATTAGTCTAGTGGTAAACACTTACTAATAGCCATTTTTATTTGCTTGTTTTTATGGAATATATTATAAGTCAAATTCTAAATAGGAATTTGAAAATAAATTCAGTTTTAAAATTGTAAATGAAATTACATGTTGCTACACAAAATTAGCTTAATTAAATTACATTGCTCTTTATACAAAATAAAGTTTTATTATTAACCTAGTTTTTAATACTTAAATTTCTCAAACACCTCAGCCCATATTTGAAGTTACAATATGTTTAACATACATTTTAAATCTAATTCAAACACCAGAAAACAGGTTTATTTTGTACTGAGTGACTTCTATAATAAGGTCCTTGTATAGCTAGGAATAAACTTGGAATGGATGCTTTTGATGTTTTTGTTTGCTTGTTTTTATTTTTAAGATGAGAAACTTAGCCTGACATTACAATTATATATAAATAAAATACATCCAAGGGGCTGGCGAAATGGTTGCCTGGTTAAGAACACTTTAGGCAAAGCCTGAAGATCTGAGTCTAGAGCCCCAGAATCCACATGGGCCTGCCTGTTTAACCCCAGCACCATGAGGGGCAGAGACAGGAGGATTTGTGGCATTTACTCACCAATGAGTCTAGCAGAAACTGTAGTCTCCAGGTTCAGTGAGAAAGAGGGAAAACCTGTCTCAAAGGAGTAGAGGAGAAAGTGAGAGCAGGACACAGATATACTCTTGTGCAAGTGCATGCACCACAGGTACTCATGCCCACAGACACACAAATGAATTCAAGTCACTGTCTGCATACAACATAAAACTATGTATAATAACTTAGTTATTATGCATAATACTAATCCTGTCCAGTTCTCACAGCCCATGTTAATTTTTAGGATTGTTTTCTCTAGCTTGATGTGTTATTTCTAACCAGAGGAGATTGCATTTGGGAGAAGTTAAGGCTGCAGTTTTACACTTAAGTACTATTGTTTTGGCTTTCTTAGGACACACTGACTAAATATGTAGCACCATCTAAGGTTTTCTAGATCAAAGATTTACCATTTTTTTCTTAATGTGTTAGAGAAAGCAGATGCAAAAGACCTTGGGAAGAAGAAGAATAAGGATGGAGAGAAGGAGAAGGAAAGATTCAAATTTTCACTCCATGGTTCAAGACCCTCATCTGATGTTCAGTACTCTATGCAGTCCTTGTCAGATTGTAAGCTCTTAGTCTCTTACTGTAACTACTGTAGTCACTGCCTAAGATGATGGAAAATGTCAGGACATAGAAAAATATACCTTCTCTTTTGATGTAGCTAAGTAAACATGTTCAAGTTTTCCCTCAAACTTCGGGTCCTTCATGTAAGTGATGGGTTTGTATGCTGTTAGGAGATGAAAACAAGCAAAATAGCCCTTGGCAATGCTTCATCTTTTGAAAAGAACTAAATGCTGCTTTATCCTTTGCTTTGTGAAAGTAAAAGCACCCTTCCGCCATTAGAACTCTTAATTAAACTTGTGGTAAAACATATCTTTAATCCCAGCACTGTGGAGAAAGAGGCAGGTGGATCTCTAAATTTGAGGCCTACCAGGGCTACATAGTGAAATCCTGTCTCAAACAAACAAACAAACAAACAAACAAAAATCAAAAAACAAAAGAAAGAACCAAATCAAACAACAACAACAAAACCAAGGAAGTCATGAATATACAGGGTGTGACTCAGGTTGGGGCTGTGAGCTCTGCTTAAAGTCACGTCTCTGCTTCATTCAACATTGGGTGTGTGAGTACCAGGCTAGTGAGTGAGCCCCTTTACAGCCAGGGTTCCCTGTCTTCATCACCACAGCAGCATCTACCAGGAACTCAGAATTAAGAATTAATTAATTAATTAATTAATTAATTAATTAATCATTCATCTGTTGGTGTGTCACACTTCAGCATATTCATGATGACTGTTTTAATTCTTAAAAGTGCTTAAGAAAGAACACGGGGTTCCTCTGATCCCCACAGGGTGGATGTCATCTGACATAAGTAAGAGAGTGAGTGCCTCTGTAGGCTTCCTTTTCCTATGCAGCTCATTTTAAGTACATTTTGAAGATGCATTTCCTTCCATCGGCTGCTTTAGCTTTATTTATAGTCGGTTATAGATGGACCCTGAGTAATCAAATGATAGCTGACTTATAGACCCAATTCCCACGGGAAAGAATTACTTGATTTTTATATTACTTGTATCCGGTTTGACAATAGAAATATAATATGCTTAAGCTAGCTCTGAGAAGGCATTGGGAATTTAATATAAAAGACTTTATGTTTTATTAATTTTTAGAATTAGTATGTTTATCACAGCTATAATTAAAATAAAATGGCATTCATAGCTTTAAAATTTATAAAGTAGATAAAGTAGGGAAACAAGATTATATAGATATTTATGCATGTTTTTTCATGTGTGTGCTTCTATTTCTATAATATCTACTGCAATCTTCTACATGCTAATAACTATGTGATATTTAAGGGTTCACCAGTTTGTTATTTTCAAAGTAAACATATTCATGAGTATAACTTACAAATGATTATTTTTTTAATTACATGAAATTAAGACTATTTATGAGATCAAAAATTCTAAGTAGTATTTAAGAGAAATGTGGTCCTGTCCTAGAGTTCTGACACCTTTAGCCATGTAGATTCTAAAGTTCTTTGCTAGGAGAAGTGGGAAAAGAGATGGGATGATTACATCTGATATCTTTAAGGACCGAATTCATTAACAGTAAGTCACTTCTGTGTATACTCCATTTCTGTTCCAGTTGGTTCTACCTAACTGTAAGGGAGTTGGAGAAACACAGTTTGGCTAGATGTTTTAGAGAAAGAGGGCCTCCTCTGGTGGGCATAGGTGACCTTTGTCAGATTTTACTTCCCTGGATACTAGATACCCATTTCATCCTTCCCATAAATGTGTATTCAATACTTTACAAAGCTAAGACCTAAACTATCCAGCAATTGCATCTAGTGCACTGGCACACACCCACACCTCATCCCTTATGTATTGCAGAAGACAGATTAACTGCAATATGAGTTCCCATTCATAAAAGGAAACAAGAGGGCGAGTTGTAGTCTCTGGTCATTACCATCTATAAAATTCTTCGGAGACAACCCTCTGTAGACCTTTGTCCCCACAGACGGGGGTGGGGGGGACAAAGGTCTTGGCACTGGCTGTGGTATTTTGGAACAACTCCAAATGAGTTTTCAAGTCCAGGAAGTTGATCTTCAGAGTTCACCCATTTCACCACTGTATTGTCCTTCCCCTCCTTATCTGTTGATAAAGCAATCTTTAAATGTTGAACAATTTCCTGACCAACTAAATTTAAAATGTAACTTAAAAAGAAACTTGAGCTGGGCCATGGTGGCACATGCCTTTAATCACAGCACTCGGGAGGGAGAGGTAGGTGGATATCTGAGTTTGAGACCAGCCTGGTCTACAGAGTGAGTTCTAGGACAGCCTCCAGAGCCACAGAGAAACCTGTCTCACCCCCTCCCCCGACCCCCCCCTTGCCCGCAGCCCCCAAAGAGAAACTTGAATTCAGATGGTGGCATTAATGAAAAAGGAGAAAAACAACAACAACAACAACATAGGTTTTAACATATGAATGATCAGACCCTTCTAATATCTGATCAAAAATTTACCAGAAATATTAGATATTTGATAACTTACATTTTGTAACTAGCAAGAGTTTAAAAATATATTACAAAGGAGCAAAACTCAGTAAGACTGGAATAGGATTTTGTGGTATTAAAAGGAGTGTATTTTCTGAGTATGGGTGAGATTGCCAAATTTTGTAATTTTCACTCTCCAATTAAGAACAGTTATGCTGTGTTTCCCCCCAGATATTTTAAAAATTAGATTAGCTTGAGCTTGTGCTGGAACCCCTGAGACATGAGCAGCGTTTGTAAATTGTAGAACTCTTTTTTTTTTTTTTCTAAACAGGGTTTTTCTGTGTAGCTTTGGAGCCTTTCCTGGCACTGGCTTTGGAGACCAGGCTGGCCTTAAATTCACAGAGAACCACCTGCCTGTGCCTCCCGAGTGCTGGGATTAAAGGCGTGCGCCACCAACGCCCAGCTTAAGTTATAGAATTCTTAGTGGCTGTTACAGCAGCTAGAATCACTTAGTGATGTATGCAATGTTGCCAAGGTTAGATTGCCAGTTAAAAGGTGAATGTGTGTGGGCCCTGTTTAGCAGTGCAGTTGCTGGCAATGAGGAAGGAAGTGTCTCAAGATGACATTCACCAAGACCCAGACATTCACCACAGAAAAACTAGAAGCTGTTACACTTTGGAAAGTGGTGATTTCAGAAATGCATGGCAGAGTGCCTATTAATGTGCACAGTGTTCATTTGTAATATTTAGTCTTAACAAGGTATTGAAAATAAAAGATACACCTGGCAAGAACGATCTGTATTCCAAAAACACATTAAAAACAAAAGAAAACCAGAAATGTCAGAGATCAAAATTAAGAAGGCCATTTCTTGACCACAGATAAGTTCATCTAAAACTTTTAAGATGACCATGATTTTCATACATATGTGTCATTAAACTTTACTTTTACTCTTCCTCCCTCCCACTGAACACCCCTTGCCTCCTCCTGGCTGGTTCCCACGCTTTGCCCAAATGGTATCCCTTCTCCTTTCACATCATATATGTTCCATTATGTTCTTTTTTTACCCCTCTCTTAATGTCTTTCTCCTCTATCATAATCCCTGCTCTAATTTTGTGTTACACACACACACACACACACACACATATACATATCTACACTCATATGTAATATCAAACTGAATTTCTGCATATGTGTAGTAGTTATAAGCCTGATAGAAAAATTATTTTGTTGCTGAGTTTTATATCATATTGTAGAATTACAAACACCTTTTGGTGGAAATTGACCTGACAAGTCTTGTGGTCAAACTATTCTTCGGCTAGTGCTATAAAAACAGCAGTTCTTAACCTGTGGGTTGTAACCCCTTTGTGGGGCCAAACAACCCTTTCACAGGGGTCTTCTAAGGCCATTGGAAAAACAGATATCTACATTATGATTCATAACAGCAGGAAAATTACAGTAATAAAGTAGTAATGAAATAATTTTGTGGTTGGGAGTCAGCACAACGTAAGGAAATGTATTAAAGGGTCACAGCATTATCAAGGTTGAGAACCCCTGCTCTAGAGAATAATTGATAATGAGTTACCAGACAGACTAGGCATCCGTTCACACTCACTCCTCACATTTAACCCCCCCTGCATCTTGGATATATTTTTTAACCTATCCTCCATTTAGTTTTCTAACCTAAAAAAGCAATGCCATACAAGTTATTTCCGAGGGTTTTTTGTTGTTTAAATTCTTTAATTACCACTCATATTTACATATCCATCCCCCCATTCCCTTGCTCTCCCATCCTCCCATGCTCCCCACCAATCTCCCCCAACCCCCCCACCGGAATCCTCCCCAGGGATAGTGAGGCCTCCCATGAGGCACCTTCAAAGTCTGTCATATCATTTGGGGGAGGGCCTAGGCCCTCATTGCTGTATCTGGACCGCAATAGTATCCCTCCGTAAGGAATGGGCTCCCAAAGTCCATTGTGCTCTAGGGATAAAGACTGGCTCCGCTGTCAGAGGAGCCATAGACTGTCTTGGCCTAAATGGCACCCACATTCAGAGGGCTTGGTTTGGTCCAATGCTGTTTCCCCAGCTTAATGGCAAAGGTCTCTATGCTATCAGTAGGTCAGGTCCACTGTTTCTACAGATCTCTCCAGCCCCTTCTTGGCTCATTTGCTCATCCTCCCTCCTTCTCCACAACTGAATTCCAGTTATTATGGTTCAGTGCTTGGCTGTGGTTGTCCGTTTCTGCTTTGAACCACAACAGGATGAAGGCTCTTCTTCCTCTCCCTGCTCCTGGCTCCCACTTTGGTCAGGGGTTCTTGTCCCCATTCCCTTCTTCGAGGGACTATGCAATCTTCTCTTGGGGTCCTCCTTGTTTCCTAGCTCCTCTGGCAGTGTGGAATGTAGGTTAGTGATCCTTTGCTCTATGTCTAAAAATAAAAAATGAGTGAGTACATACTATGTTTATCTTTTGTGATTGGGTTACCTCACTCAGGATGGGTTCCTCTAGTTCCATCCATTTGCCTGTGAATTTCAAGATTCCATTTTTTTTTCCACTGAGTAGTACTCCATTGTGTAAATATACCACATTTTCTCTGTCCATTCTTCAGCTGAGGGGCATCAAGGTTGCTTCCAGGTTCTGGCTATTACAAATAATGCTGCTATGAACATAGTGGAACATATGTCCTTATTGTATGAGTATGTACTTTTTGGGTATATGCCAAGAAATGAATTGCTGGATCTTGAAGTAGACTGATTCCCATTTTCCTGAGAAACTGCCATACTGATTTCCAAAGTGGTTGTACAAGTTTGCACTCCCACCAGCAATGAAGGAATGTTCCTCTTTCTCCACAACATCTCCAGGATAGTCATTGGTGTTATTAATTTTAGCCATTCTGACAGGAGTAAGATGGTATCTCAGAGTGGTTTTGAGTTGCAGTTCCCTGATGGCTAAGGATGTTGAGCACTTTCTCAAGTGTCTTTCAGCCATTTTGGATTCCTCTGTTGAGAATTCTCTATTTAGTTCTGCATTCCAGCTTTTAATTGGATTGTTTGGTGTTTTGGTGGCTAGCTTCTTGAGTTCATTGTATACTTTGGTGATCAGCCCTCTGTCAGATGTGGGATTGGTGAATATCTTTTCCCATTCTGTGGGCTGCTGTTTTGTCTTGCTGACTGTGTCCTTTGCCTTACAGAATCTTCTCAGTTTCAGGAGGTTCCATTTATTAATTGAAGATCTCAATGTTTGTGCTACTGGTGTTATGTTCAGAAAGCAGTCTCCTATACCAATTTGTTCAAGGGTACCAACTATCTTCTCTTCTAGAAGGTTTAGTGGGGCAGAATTTATGTTGAAGTCTTTGATCCATTTGGACTTAAGTGTTGTGCATGGCGATAGATATGGATGTAACTGCAATCTTCTACATGTCCAAATCCAGTTATGCCAGCACCATTTGTTGAAGATGCTTTCTTTTTTCCGTTGTATAACTTTAGATTCTTTGTAAAAAGTCAGGTGTTCATAGGTGTGTGGGTTAATATCAGAGTTTCAAATTCGATTCCATTGGTCAACCTGTCTATTTTTGTGCCAATACCAAGCTTTTTTCAGGACTGTAGCTCTGTAATAGAGCTTGAAGTCAGGGATGGTGATGCCTCCGGAAGTTCCTTTATTGTACAGAGTTGTTTTGGCTATCCTGGGTTTTTTGTTTTTCCATATGAAGTTGAGTATTATTCTTTCAATGTCTGTGAAGAATTGTGTTGGGATTTTGATGGGGATTACATTGAATCTGTAGATTGCTTTTGGCAAGATTGCCATTTTTTACTATGTTGATCCTACCTATCCAAGGGCATGGGAGATCTTTCCATTTTCTTGTATATTCTTTAATTTCTTTCTTTAAAGACTCAAAGTTCTTACTATACAGGTCTTTCTCATTTTTGGCTAGTGTTACCCCAAGATATTTTTTGTTGTTAGTTGCTATTGTAAAGGATGATGTTTCTATGACTTCTTTCTCAGCACATTATCTTCTGTTTAGGGTTATACCAGAATACATATCAGATTTCAGGCCAGCCTCACCTTTGTCCTTGCACCTTGTCTCACAAGCCATAAAACAATAAAAACTTGTTACAGAAATGACTTCAGAAGATCCAATGTGTAATGTTGAATGATGGAGTACAATTTAGGCAAAACACTTTTATACATAAAGGTGTTAATATCAAAATTTAGGAAGAAGTTAGTGTGATGGGTGATTTTTATGTCTCCAATGAGCCATGGGGTTCTCAGAAATCTGGGCAAGCATTGTTTGAAGATTCTTTTTGGGTGATATTGATATTCAGATCAGTAGGCAGAGTGAAGCAGCTCATCCTCTCTCCTGTGAGGCAACCTCATGCAATCAGGTAAATGCTGGGTACAAAAAGGCTCTCCTTCCTCCCCCTGCCTACACACTCAGACCAAAACACTGATCCTTCTTGGGACTGGAGTGTCTTAGACAAGAACTACTCATTGCTTCACTTGTGTCTCCCCCAGCTTCCTGGCTCACCCTGCAGATTGGCGATACATAGGTGATAATTACATGGGCCAACACCTAATAATCACTCTATTTCTGTATCAGTCCTGTTTCTCAAGTGCAACAGGATTAATGCAGGTGTTGGTACTATGACTTAAAGTGCTGATATAACAAATCCAAAAAAATGGGGGATAAATTTGCAACTGAGTGATATATGGATGCTTGGACAACTTTGAAATGCACATTCAAAAATTCCTGAATGACTCTGCAGGGATGGTTGGTAAGAATTCCATATGGGACAAGTCCTAGCTGGGAAAGATGTGATTCGAACGTGAAGAAAAGGCAATTCTTACTGTAAACTGTAAAGGAGGTTGCTGGAAGTGTTCTGTAGAAGCAAGAACCTGGGAACAGTGACACTGAAAATTTACCTGAAGTGGTTTCTTAGCCCAGTGTTGGGCATAAGTGCTAAGTTGAGAGTTGTAACATATGAAAGAAGGGAGGTGAAAGGAAGCAATCTTAAACCAGAAACCAATAAAAATTTGAAGACTAGAAAAAAATTTCAGTCTAACCTTATCCTAAAACTAGAAAACTTGCAAAAGAATGCCAAGGGTGTGGCTTGAAACCACCCATAAGGAAGTTAATCACAGGTCAAGTCCACAAAGAGTAGGGATAGAAATGGTATCACCCACATAAAGGCCATCTTCTGGAGGAGGCACAGATAGGATGAAGGAAGGCTGTTGGTCTGTAATTCCATAGGACCAGATCATAGACCTATTTGGCTATGAATTAATATGCAGGTAAGTTCAAGGTGATCCAGAGGTAATCAGGAGTGCAACTCACCAGGCCCCCTGGAAATAAGGCTGTTTCTCACTCAGTTGCAGAGGGTGGGCCCTGCTTCTTTCTTTTAGTACCCCTGCTACCCATGCAAAGAGCCAAATGTGCCTCTTTGTAAGGGCTCTTTATGGGTGAAGCCATTGCAAAATGTTCTCACATGTTCTCTCTCAGATCAAAGCCAATGATGTAGGGCCACCACTGAGGGCTGGTGGGAGGGCAACGATAGTGGGCTAAGCAGGCTGAGAATCCAACCAAGAGAAATATCCTAAGCCTAAGATTCAGTGGAATTTGCCTTGCTAAATTTTTGTGCTGACCTGTCCTCTGATTGCATCTCCATTGTATTTAGGAATCACATTTCTTATCCAGTATCACAAGCTCATAGCCATGTAAGAACTCTAGGAGATAATTTCATTTTTATTTATAGTTGAAGAAAATGTCATTATGTATATGTAAAAAAGCAAACAAAAATTAATTGTAGAAGTTTTGCCTCAAGATGTGTCCTGCCTTAAGTCTTACTGGAGGTGAGTTAGATATTTCAGTGAAATTTTGGGCTGGGGTTGATGCTGAACTTTGATAAAGCTTTTGGTGCTGTTGTCCCGGGTGGAAGGAATTCGTTTATGTGGATGACACAGTTTACAGATAAGCAGAGCATCATGGAGAAGATTGTTTCTCTTCTATATTGATATATTGAAGCTATAACCTCTAATGTAAGTGTTTTTGTAGATACCTTTAGGGTGGTAGTTAAGGTTAAATCATTATAAAAAGAGGGAAAGATAACAGATATATTCTCCTCTCTCTTTTTCTTATTTCCTTCCCTTTCTCCTTCCTTTGTCTCTTCCTGCCCCCGCCCTCTCTCTTCTGTACCTCTCATAAAAGAGGCCACAGTGAGAAGGTAACTGTCTAGTTTCATGTTGACAAGAATGCTCATGGATCACATATGTTCTTTTTCAGGCTCCTCAGCAATACAGTCCCCTCATATGGTTGTGTATGCCACCTTTACACCACTCTATTTGTTTGAAAACAAGATCTTTACATTAGAGAAGATGGTAAGAATTCAAAGCCAAAGATACCGTGTCCTCATGTGTGGTGGTTGGGAAGTGTGTGCTCCTGGACTAAGGGGCTGGAACATGCAAAATTATCCAATTTTTCATAGTACTATCTAATTATATAAAGGTAAATTACAATCACATTTTATTTTTAAATATTATGTACAAAAGAAAAGACAGAGGAACTATACATTTCAGTGAAACTCCTGTTGATCATTCCTGATCAATAATCACTTTTCAGTGACTCAAGTACACATATGTTCTTAAAGTGAGATGATATACATAAATTTTCACTCAGGCTGGAGAGCCACAGCCATGACCTTGTTGTATCAAATAATAAGGCAGAATTTACTTTTAAACAATAAACTTAAACAATAACAGAACATGTAGTAAATGTAGCCAAAGGTAATACAATTACATTATGCAAAGATTGAACAATCAGGCATAGGCACTGTATATGTTGATATATGTTCTTTGGTTTCCTTCCTATGCATATATTCTATATTGAGCTCTATACTTTTTTCCAGTGTGGAATCTTATTTTATGTTCCATTTGGAAGCCAGCTTTTTATTTAACAGTTTTCCCTATGGTGTCACATTTTAATTAATACATTTAATGATTACACAACATTTTAGTAACTTTTTATTCTTTGGGGAAAAAAAGTAAATTCTCTTCTCTCATAATAATAGCATCTATCAAGTTACTACACAGTTCATTTAGACTAATGTAATACATTGAGGACTTGTTCCATCTGGCCCTGTGTGGGAACCTTAGACACCTAGTACCTTACCCCTGGGGTTCTCTATGCTGTAAAGTCACTATATTAAAGTGTAAGGATAGTGCATATACAGTTGTACATAAATATCCATTGTGTAAGTCAGAGTTAAATTTCAAAATTTTAACAAGAAGTGGCTTGAAAAGTAAGTATTCAAATAGGTCCATTGTTTCCATGTGTCACATTCATCTTTTAGATTTGCCTGAGAGCCCAATACCATCATTCCAGAAGCCATTATTACAAGCCAAAATCTATCACATAATGGTAGTAACATAAAAATGGTGGGACACAATATGCTAGCATGAGCTTTGGGACAGATGTAGTTTTTGCTCTTTGTAATCCATAGTTAAGTAACAGCAGCCATGGTTGAATAGCAGAATGAGAAATTTTCTTAGTGTCTGGAAATCAGCAGCTCCCCACAATCCAATGTGTGCCAAAGCTTCTCTCAAGCCAAACCTCCTGTTGACTTCAGGGTTGGTCTCCTTTTCACTCATTGTGTCATGGGCACCTTCTCAGATGCTCTAGATCGTAAAGACTCAATGTATGGATCACTAAAGGACATCAACCATATTTTATAGTGTGTCATGCCTCATATCCAAGAGATATTCAAACTTCTTATTAAAACTGTAACACTCAATGGATATTAATTCATGTATTATAATACATATATACTATGGAATGGGCAATTTGCTTTGCCCTTAAGGTATAGAGATGAGTAACATAGTCTAAATTCCTCACCACAAAGCTCAGAGACTATAATTAAGTAGATAAAAACAATTAGAAAACTGTTATAACAGAGTATGTTAGAACCTAGATAAACAGTATTTGTTAGAGTAATGGCACAACTGAATACCTACATGAATGTTGAGAAAAAATCATTGTGGGGGCAACAAGACACAAAGAATGCACCTTTCCCCCTAGTGGGCAACTATGGAGGTCTTCCAAAGGAAGCTAACTGTTTAACCTAACCTGAGGTGTAAGAAGTTATGCTAGTAAAAAAAGAAAATATGTGTTCAAAGCAGAGAGATTATGTTGGAAAGTGTGGAGGCAAGGCAACCACATAGACGCTGCATTCTGGGAACTGACAGAGATTGGGTTAATTGTAGGGAAATTTCAGAAGCAACTCAAGTTAAAGAACTAAGGACAGACTATTCTCCACAAAACACTTTCTTTTCCCTTAGACACAGTGTGGTCATGTAGCTCAGGCTGGCCGGGAATTTGTGATCTTCTTGCCTCGGGCTCCTGGATTCTGGGAATACATGTGTATCACAATACCAGTTTAAACCTTCCCTTTGGGTGCCGTAAAGTACTGAAAATGTGGAAGACTTTGGAACCAATCTACTATCTGTAACATGATCACAAAGGGCCCACTCCATCTGCCACCATCTGTTTGAGAGTCGTGGTCCCCTGTCCCATCTGTTGATTCTTTTAGGTTGACCTTCTGTGAGGTTGATGTAGTTCCCCTGTAAATATCAATCTAGAATCAAGAATGTGAATACAGTATTTTAATCATAAATCGATAGAAAATGGTTTCTTCCCTATTGAAATTTTGTAAAATGGAGTATAACGTTGAAGTTACAGCCCCAAAGTTTAAAAATCAACATAAATAGTTAACAACTTGCATTTAGTTAAGAAGCAATAGACTACAGAAGAACAGAACAAAACATCATGAAATAACTATGTGATCTAATACCCTGCCTCATCATCAACTACCCTATGTGATTCAACACCCTCCTCCTCTTAATGAACTAGGTTATGTGATCTAACACTCCTCACCACAAACTACTCTATACGATCCATAAGCCTCCTGTCAGGCACCCTGAACAGTTCGGGCTTTAGATGAATGAACTTCCCACACCTTCCACCTCTGGTGCCTTCTTTTAGAGAATTTGAAATAAAATTGGGGAGAAGTATAGGGGTCTTGGAAAACAAATTTTCTAGCTTATGTTTTTTTTGCATGGACTATTCACCAGACGTTATTAATTAAGTACCTATTCAATCTTGAGGATGCTTGTCTAAGGATCTTTGAGACATTTTGGTAAGGTTTCTTACAATCAAATTTTAACCAGAATTTATGGAATTACTTACCTGATACACAAGATTGAAAATAAAAATACAAGAATTTGTCATTTTAAAATTTATCATGTTAAATAAGGCCAGTCCTTTGAAATATTGTTGACCTGTGGTGTGAAATTAATACCCTGCTTTGTTTTCTTCAACCAGCATTTTATATTTTCACAATACTTTATGATATTCTACAGTTCCAAAAAGAAGTTATTTTTACTAAAACATTGTTATTTTGAAAGAGAGACACACAGAGATAGAGACAGAGAGAGAGGCAGCAGAAGAGAGAGAAATGTGTGTTTCAAATTATCCTTTGTAAAATGTCTAGAATTTATTCCTTTGTAAATTACTTTGAATGTGGCTTCATTTCAAATATTAGTAATGTGTAACCCTTACAGTAATGACCTTATCCCTTAAATTCTCCCCCAAGTTTCTAGCAGATTTATCTCCAACAGTGATGTGATTTCATGGTGGCTTCTAACACCTAGCAAAAAGAAAGTTGTAGGGAAAAGTTTATTCTCTAGATGGTGTAGGGAAATGTTTGTTTTTAAGCTACTTTACAAATCACAGAAATTTCTAAATGTTTTTTAGTAAATTGATAATAGTCTATAAGAAAAAAAAAGAACCTTTCTTCCTAGGGTACTTCTAACAATGAGGATATCAATCTTCTCTAGAATTTGAATTATTATCTATACCATGAGTTTTGAAACCAATCATGTGAACTCATTAGAAAGAAAATAGTTTTAGGAGGAACTGAGTTCACTGTAGTTGGTATTTTGTTATTTTACTTTAAATGTTAAAGCAATCTGTGGTGGTAATATGGATCAATTCGACTTTCTGTCTCTGTCTGTCTGTCTTCTATAACATTCTTCTATAACACACTTCAGGCAGCATTTAGGAACTACAGTTGAAATAATGGTCTGAATTATTCCAAATGAAATAGCTTTAGAACTGAATATTTGACTATGCAACATATCTTCCAGGACTGCTTCTATCCTCACTGTCAGGGCCTCCACTGTCTCCAGTAAAGGGAGGGACTTCCTGAGGAAAAACCCACTGTTAGAGGTTGCAATCTATCATAGATAAGGCCATCTCTTGCCACTCACAAGCAAGACCTGACTACATTTAAAAAACATTTGTTTAATATTAAATAACAATTGTAAGTGAGTCTTATTTTTTTAAATTTCTAGATAATCAAAACTGGTTTCACCGCTTTAACCTAGAAAACACTGCCTACAGACTTTATATTCTTATTGGAACCTAAGTTTGAGAATGGCCTAATTTTATCTTTTCAATAAACAAACATGCTCTCAAAAAAAACTTTAAAGATTCAAAGAAATATAAACGTTAACATTACTTCTATTAAGGGGTAGAAACACTGGTGTCCCTTTTTTCTATGCTGACATACATGATTTTAGATACAGGAAGTGATGAAAGAGTCATTTCAAATCTTTTTTTTTCCATCTCTTAGGCGAATTCTGCAGAGAAACTTAGGGAATATGGACTTTCCCACATCTGTAGCCATCCTGTGCTGGTGACCAGAAGTAGGTCTTGTCCCCTTGTGGCACCCCCCAAACCTCCTCCCTTACCACCCTGGAAACTCATTCGCCAAAAAAAGGAAAAAGTCATAACAGATGAAGCTCAAGGTATGCGCCATGTTGCCTTGCACTCTAATTTACAATTCTCTGGGGGCCTGCCAGTGTCTCCCATGGAGGATGGTACATGTTGAGGTAAGTCACTACCCTGAGTATCCCTGCACCCAAAGCCATTAAACTCATGTCCAAAGAATGCATTTTAAAAGTAAATATGCATACTGTTTGGGCTAGGGGACCCATAGTAGCAGTGGACTATGCTAGAGCTCATCATCTATTTGTCTATCTTCTTTCTATTAAGCTTAATATGTTAAGTAAAAAAATTAACAACAATGGGAAGGGTGTTCCGTTCTGAAGGATAGTGCAGAATGATTAGAGGGACTTTGCTTCCTATCTGAGCTCTGTTTCTTTTCCTGTTCTACTTCAGGATTCACCATGGTGATGTGTGCTGCTCTCCTTTCTCACTGGGAATTTCTTTCTTCTAGAGTAACTTTACACTTATGCATACCCACAATCCTCTCTCAACCTGTTTCCTTGCTATGCACAGCACTTCCTTCTTCTTCTTCCACTGTAGTCTCATGAAGTAGCTCACATTCTTTGGCATGTCCCAAGTGATCGTGTGGAGGAGGTTAATTGAGGGACACTTATTTTTTTAAGAAAACATTTATATGGAAAGTCATCCTAGCACTTAAAGAAAATGCAAAGACTTGTCTAACTTCACCGTTTGAGATAGCACTGTTCTACTCACAGCTGTAAAAGAAAGTTAACAGGGGCAAGATCTGTAAACTGTTTCACTTATTAAAATGTCTCTGTGATCCCTGTTTAACTCTATTGAAATCCCTGGGTAATGTGTACTCTAACCAGCACTGCATTAGAATCTGAAGGATTCTGAAAGTGGACATCACACTTCCCCATGGGAACTTTTCAGATACTGTGCCGAAGAAGCCCGAGCAGTTCCTTGAAATTTCAAGTCCATTTTTGAATTATAGAATGACTCCATTTACGATTCCAACAGAAACGTAAGTATGTGATGGTTTCTCCAGTGAATCTTAACTTCACATCTGTGATGTATGTGGTTAAAAATCACGCTTAATGGGAAGAGTGTTTGAAGAATATTGAGGCCAAATATATATACATATTTGCATAGCCTATTAAAGGGGATGCACATGTTTATGCATACATATACACTGCTGTATATGTATGTATGGCATGAATTTGAGAGAGAGCAAGGGTATTTTACCTACAGTCAGGAAGCATAGGCAGACAGATGCTGGTGCTCAACTTCTTTCTCCTTTCCATTCACTCTAGGACCCCAGCACATGAACTGATGCTGTCCACAGTTATGGCAGCTCAATTTGACTCAGTCTAGAAACTTCTTCACAGAAATACCCAGAGGTCTTTATCCTTAGTAGTTCCAGTTCCTGTCAAGTTGACAATATTACTCATCACAGGCTGTGGTAGATGTATATGCCATCAGATATAGTTAAGTCTTTCCTGGGATATGCAATGGACTATATCCATGATAGAAATAGAAACTGATAAGAAAAAAAGCAGTCACAATTTAAATGCTCAACTCAGTGGACTCTCTACTGTTCAGCACACTTTATAACAAAGCCAGCTAATAAATTAGCTCACACCATCTTACCTGTTTAATTTGAACATATTAGGCACATTCTTCACATCTCTTACCCTTCCTTGTGTTTCTGTCATGTTTGTGGGAGTTGTTTATTTTTTGTTTTTTCTCTTCTTTTTTTAATTAATGCTTCATAGTTTTTCCAATTATATTTATATTGAAAGTTCTTCAGAGAAATACAACCAATGTTTGAATGATTAGATGTTAGCTGGAACAATGGTATAGAAGCCAGGTAACTACATTCTGGAGGAACTGGCTACATGGTCATGGTGGTTGTGAAGTCTAATGAGAGACCATTTGCATTAGAGGACTGGGGAGGCCATTAGCGTGGCTATCAAATCCAAGCCTTAGAAGTACCGGAAGCAGCAGTGTGACTTCTATTTGGCTGAAGGATGAGGGGTGCCACTGTACATGTCCTGGAATTCAAAGGGCAGAGACCCTGGAATTGTGATGACCATGAGCAAGGAAAGAATAATCCTTGACAGTCGTTCTTGCCTTTCCTAATGCTGTGAGTCTTGAACAGTTAGTTCCTCATGTTGTAGGGACTACCAACCATCACGCTATTTCATTTCTTCAAAACTGTAATTTTGCTCCTGTTTTGAATTGTAATGTGAATATGTACTTCTGGCCCAGGTACTAGAAAGTAAAGTCATTTTCTCTCAGCTCTTGTATGTTGTCCAGGCCTACTGCTGAGTGGACAGTGCCTGCCTACACTGAGGGCAGAACTTTCCCACTCAGGCCACTGATGCCCATGTTAATCTCCTTCAAAAGTTGCCTCACAGACACACTCAGAAATGAAACTTTACCAGTTACCTAGTCATGCCTAAGTCCAGACTAGTTGACACTGGAGATTGTTTATCCCATCTAAGATTTCAATTTGCCATTCAAATACACTTTGGGATCTTTGATCTTTCATATGACTGCATTTGCATACCAATTAGGGGTTATATGGGCTATAAAAACTGAAGCTACTTGACAGCAGAACACATTTCCTACCACTTCTATTATCATACTTAGAATTTAACAATTTCTATGTTTATAAGGACAAAAATGGATTGATTTCATAACCTGAGTTCCCCAAGTTATTCCCATCTCTGATTTTCTGTAACTTCTTTTAGCTTTACTATTTGATTAAGGTAGATAAAGTTCTAAAACCCAGAAACAGGCAACCACTGCTTGATTGGCTTCCACTAGTCTATTACCCACTGTAATATGTTATGAATTTATTCACATATCCAAGCTCTGTAGCAAAGGCAAAGGCTTGTGAATGCCATTGCATTCTCTGTGGAAGACATGTCCTAGACCTGTTCTGTTGTATAACCAGATTTCTCGTGTCAGCATAAGAGCAATCCCCAGGGGAATGACTACTGTCGTGATTTCCTTTCATTGAAATTCCACTGCTATAACAGCGTGTTTGTTCATTCTTGGCTCATGGCTTTCTATGAGACATTTGCAGCCTCATAAATATGTTCCTACTACCCTCTAGTGGAAGTTGCATGAAGTAGGTGAATTCAATCTAACTAAATATGGTGGAATCCTAGTTCATGAAGTCTACATGAGGAAAAACTATTTTCTTTTGCTTTTGAGACAGGGTCTCACTATGTGACACTGACCTAGAACTTGATATGTAAGCCAGGCTGGCTGAGAACTCACAGAGACCCATCTGCCTCCTCTTCTTGAATGCTGGGATTAAAAGCGTGTACCACCATGCCCTGCTATATGTGCAGAATTTGATTTTGTCTTTGAAACAGTTGCATCAAACACAAATACTATGATAGACATCTCATATGCTAATGAAATTTGTGCTACAATGGTGGTGTTTTGGACCATGTCAGTGGGTTCTTGAGGAAGCGACTTGGGTGGAGAATAAGAAAGTCACACTTAAAAGCTTAAAATGTAACAGTTCAGAATTAAATTTCCCACACCAAGATGTTTCATCCACACAACTCTCTAATTTCACCAATGTTGTAATGAAATCCTGTCTTTTAATTATCCACAATTCACATTTTTAAAACAGTGTTCCTAGAAAACATTTACAGCAATACATCGACTGACGGTAGTCTAGAAAGCAGTATAAACCATTATTCAGAGGTTCAATGTTAAGAGCTTTTTAAAGACTTCCCTGTAAAAAGATAAGAATAAAATGAGCAGAATCAGAACGTTTTCTTGTTGACAAAACTGAATATATCCACTAGTCACTGTGTATCAGAAGTGAGAGTAACAGCAGTTTTGTGGCTTTCTCTCCACTAGGCATTTTGTACAATCTGTTGTTAAGAAAGGAACCCCTCTGGGTTCCAGCCTTCCTCAACTTGTGGAAAATGAGCTAAGTGCAAGCACCAGCCAAGGCGAAATGAGCACGGTAACAGGAAACCAGTCGCAGGTACTGGCTCAGTCCTAAATTGGGCAAGATTTATTGTAAATTATGAACTCTCTTGTGTCTGTGAGGTGTGAATACTCCAATTCTTAGCAGACAAAAGAATTCCACTAATCCCCCCACCTTGTGCGTCTGTGACAACTTAGGAAGTGGAATACCCTTCTGCTGTAAAAGTCCCCATATGTCCCTCCTGCTTCATGTTTCCCGTACACCATAAAACAGTTGCACACGTTCCTAATTTGGGCAATTATGTATATACTTATAATTGTTCATTTTCACTTTGCAGGGTAATGTTTTATCGCAAACTATAACTGGAAAAGGTAAATTAGTCTTCCCTTCATGTTTTTCCTCTCCCATAGATAACAATGCACACAAACTCTTGCTTCTAAACAGACTTAGTTCTCCCTTCTCCACATGAGCCTCTCCTATGTTTTACTAACTCTAATCCACTCCAGACTAGAAACATGTGACAGTGTCACAGGTTAAATTCAAACTAAAATAGAAACAGATGTCAGGTATCTTTTAATGTCTGCATGCTGTGTTCAAAATACAGAAATCATTGCCAATTCCTGTTACTAACTAAAGAGTTAGCCAAGACTCAAATCCAAAAGAAATGTCGCATAAATGTATAAGAGATGTTGGTTTAAGATTCCACGTGAGTTTTTTGACAGTACTTGACAAATATAAACTGTGGTTATACAGTCACTGAGTGGAGTAATTAAAGGGCTGGCTGAACACATCAGGGACAACAGTTTTCACTTTGCCTTCTTCACTCTGGACTGTCCCATTTCCTCCCCATCCTTTTTTTCTTTTTAAAAATTTTCCATCCTTTTTTTCAAAACATGGTTTCTCTGTGTACCCTTGGTTGTCCTAGAACTCTTTCTGTAGACCAGGCTGGCCTTGAACTTATGAGATCTGCCTGCCTCTGCCTGGGATTAAAGGGGTGGGCCACCACTGCCTGGCTAAACTTTTCCTTAAGATTTGTTTATTTATGCATTTTAAAGTATTTGTCTGCATACCTGCATGACAGAAGAGGGCATCAGACAGAAGAGGGCATCCGATTTGATTATAGATTGTGGTGAGCCACCATATGGCTGCTGGGGATTGAACTCAGGACTTCTGGAAAAGCCACCAGTACTCTTAACAGCTAAGGCATCTCTCCAGTCCCAGAACTGTCCCTTACAGGAATATCTCAGTAGCAGATTTTAAGCATATGATCTAATTAATATCTTTCATAACCTGGAAATTTATAAAGAACGCGTTCCCAAACTTAACCAAAGTGATTTCAAGTTTCCTGATTATAAAATTCTAAGTGTGTGTACTATACCTTCATAAACCTTAGGCCTACATGTAAGAGATTATGTCACTGATTTCCCATAAATAGAACTTGAATTTGAAACATCCCCTATCATTCATTTTTCCATACTTTAAAAGCCTGTCATTTAACAGGGTAAGATATGCTTGACGTATTTGTACTCTCCCTTCCCCAGATGAACAGACAGAGTTTTCACTGGGTGATACCCATCCACCTGAGGCTATTGGTTTAGAAAGGGATTTGATCAGCCTTACCACAGCAACACAGGACAAATCACAGGAGGATTTTGCAACAATAAATGAGGGTGCTTCCAAAGAAATATGGTTAGATTTTGAAGACTTTTGTGTGTGCTTTCAGTAAGTATTCAAATGCCATCCAGCTGGCTAGATTCTCCTAAATAAATAGAGAGCGCCTAAATAAATAAATAGTATCCTACAGGCTCATAGCAGGGTCTGCTTTTGTGTATTTATATATTGGTCATATGATTCATTGATTCTTAACTATCATTCTAAAGAGGAAAGTAAATATCAGCTTGGAGCTAGCATAATATCAAATACAATTTTTCTTTTTTATTGAAAATAGATTTTTCTCTCATATACTACATCCTGACCATAGTTTCCCTTCTCTCCATTCATCCCCACTCCCCCACACTTCCCCTTTCTCCCAGGTCCTTGCTCTCTCTCTCTCTCTCTCTCTCTCTCTCTCTCTCTGTTTCCTCCTTAGAAATAGCAGGCCTCCAAGAGACAACTCCCAAAAAGAACAAAACAATATACATTAAGACAATGCAAGGCAAAAACCCTCATATCAAGGCTAGAGAAGGCAATCCAATAAGAGGAAAAGAGTTTTAAGAACAGGCAAAAGAGGCAGAGATACACCATTACCCCCTGATAGGAGCCCCACAAAAACACCAAGCTAACAGCCATAACATACATGCCAAGGAAAGGACCTGGTGAAGACACATGCAAGCCCCATGCTTGCCCCTTCAGTCTCTGTGAACTCATGTGATTTGGTAGGTCATGTTCTCCAGGTGTTCTCCATCTCCTCCTCTGGCTCCTACAATCTTCCTTCCCCTTCTTCTTTGGAATTCCTGTATCTCTGAGGGAAGGGACCTGATAGAGATTTCCAAGTTAGACTCTCTCTTCATATATTGTCTGGCTGTGACTCTGCACCAGCTCCCATCTGCTTCCTGAAGGGAATAATGGATGTATTAAATATCTATCCATATAGTACATTATCAACCAAACCCCACACTAGTCAGTCTCAGTACCTTCTCAAATACTTAAGATGAATTTTACCCACTGAGATCATTTTGTCTCTTTAGAACAACAAGTGCAGCAGTCTCTTCTAGAAGTTTTCTGCCTATAATATTTAAGTCTAAGAAGCTAAACATGTAATACTAACTTTGTATTTAATGGCAATAACCTGTTAGTAATGTTCTCTTTTTCAGCCACATATGTATTTTCCATAAGCCAAGTTCTTATTGTCTTAATTTTCAAAAATCAGAATTCAAGGTAAGAGCATTTAGTTTTCTTTTTATGCATAAGATTTATGCAGAATGACCTCACTAAAATGTACTTTTAAATGTTTCAAGCATTTCTAAATATCTTACACAATTATATTTGATATATCATTTTTCATGGTTTTTTAAATTACTCTTTGTCCAGACCATAAGCAATGCTTGACTAGTTTGCTTCCAAGAGTAGTCCTCCACAGGTTGGGATATAATTGAGATAATGTATGTAAGACACTTAGAAGAGGACCTTTCAGTAAATGATGATAGATGTTGGCTGTCACTATATACAGTTAACACTTTTTGACACCCATCAATCTTTTTTTAATATGTGTCGATAAGTAGTGGCATGGTCAACTTTTCTTTGTTGTGATGTTTTTATGAAGTGATAGTAAATAATTATTTTTTCCTTTAAAAATTGTCCATTTAGTAAAATAAAGTGGCAGGCCTATATAACTCTTTCATTCCTCTGAATGCTTATAACATACATGGTTGTGAAAAAATGTTTTCTTAGACATTGGAGCTTATAGCTTCCCATTGAACCTAAGAGGACAGGTTGGTTGTGGTCTGAGGCCAGGCTTTCCTGTGTTAGTCATTGGTCCTGGTGGTTTTAGCAAAGAGCCAGCGGCTACAGCACACCTCTTAGATATTCTCTTGATGCTCAGTGTGAGGATGGGAAAGAGACCTTTGAAAGTCATTCATAAATGTCTTTGGGGACTGCCAATGCCCCAACTGCTAAACCTTAAAAATGAGCCCCTTGTAGGGACTCCTAATAGACACATGTTGGGATGGAAGATCCAAAGCCCTTCACATGCAAATAGTGAGTATTTGAAACAACTGTCAATATCACTAGGAAACATGAAATAAATTGTTAGATGGTAACTAATAGAAGATATTGGAGGAGGAAGTGATTTTGATCTCATGTCATGCCAGACATTTTTAGCAATTATTTTATAGTTTATGAATAACAAGGTTTTCTTTTCTTACAGTGTGACTAGAGATTCATCATTCTTATCCTAACTGTTTGTTTAACTATTGTGGTAAAGTAGTATGTCTGTGACACACTTCCAAAACATAATGAAAACTAGCTTTGTTTACCATGTTAAAGAGCTGTGGAGTTGAGAAGCAATAAGAAGGCAATAGTCATGAGTACAGTGATAGAGTCAGGCTTGCTTTTCAACCCTGACTTTGCTACCTACAAAATGGGGCCTTTGGCAACCCATTCATACTGCTTTGCATTTTCTTGGGAATTAAAACTACCCATAGATCCCTATAGATGGAAGTCTTAACTATGTAGCTGTATATGACAGAATTAGGACTACTCATAGTTCCCTATAGATTCACGGAAGTCCTAACCATGTAGTCATATATGACTGACTTTCTAAAGAACTCTCACCTGAACAATCACTTCACTATATCTCTAAGAAAATACCTCACTCTGGACACCATCAAACCATGGTTATATTTCTGAAGACCTTGTGAGAAGAATGAAAGAAAAGGTTTTTGTTGTTGATTTCCCCCATGTAACACTGGAAAATGCCTAAATGAATCCCTATTAGGAAACTTCATTTGCTACCATGCTCAATCTGTGCTTTCTTGCCTGTCTGTAGCTGATTTTCTGCCCTCAGCCTGCTCTCTTTCTCATCATGTTATTCCTGGAATTGTCAGTTCCCTTATTTTTGTTCATGGAGAAGAGTTTCCTAATTCAGCAGCCAGACTCTTCCAAGGTCCCAGCCCCAGCTGCCATGGATTATTGCATGGATTTACTTCCTTTTATTAGACATGTAATGTGTTGACTGTGGTCCATAGAATGCAGTAAGTTTCTCACTATGTGTGAACTTCACTGTGATGGACAGGCTGAATGGACTGATAAGCTCGATGCTGCTCTGATTCCTCGCAGTTCTCAGAAGAACGTGTGCCCTACTATCTGTTTGTGGACAGCCTGAAGCCTATTGAACTACTGGTTTGCTTTTCTGCTTTGGTGCGCTGGGGGGAATCTGGAGGTAAGAGGGTTCTGAAAGTGTGGTAGTCTGGGTGTCCAGAGCACAGGTGGGTTAGGGAACATGTAACAACAAGGTTTTCAGTCCATAGGTGATGAAACTATCTCTTGTCAAGAATTACAGAGGCCTGCTCCTGCCACCACTTCTGTTGCCCTTGCTCCTCCAACACTGGGGAATGTGCTGACTCTTGCCACTTATTCTTTCTTGGACACAGGCTCTTGTTCATGTCTTTGACATGTTCCCTGTTGCTTTTCTTTTCAACTCTACCTGTCATCATTCTTATTTTCTTTGTCACTCGATCTGACAATGATCAGAAATAATCTTTTCCTTGAGCCCATTTTGGGTTCTTCTGTGAATTTTGGTCTCCTTTCCCTTTAAGTTATGTACAGGAGGCTTGTCCCCAGTGTGGTGCTGTTCAGTCAGAGAGATATTTATGTGTTAGAGACTTATGGGAAATAACTAAGTCTGTAGAAGTGCTGCACATAGATTGTGTTAAAGCTGGTCTCAGGCTAATTTAAATTAATTAAATAAAGTCTCATTAAATCTCTCTCCAGAGTTTGCTCTCTCCAGATTCCAAGCCTTATAATTCCTGACTCTAACAAGCCCTCCATCCATCTATGCTATACCTGTCTTTATATGTCCACCACTCTTTTCATGATCGCTTTCCTCCTACTCCAGTATAAGTTCTCTGGAAAATCACTGCAATTGTATCCTTTTGTGTGCCCTACCAGACATGCCCAGACTTTTGACATAGTGACATATCCAAAGTCCAATCTAGGGAGGGATGCAATCCACTTAACAAAAAACAAAATCTCATAATGTTTTAAGAAAGTTGATGATTTTGTGCTGGGCTGCAGGCATAGCTATATTTAGCTACATAAAGCTACCTGTGGTCCGTGGACCACATGTTGAACATGCTAGCTAATAAACACACTTGCCCTTACCTCTTTCCATTGCCCTTCCTTGATAAGCATCTCAGTATTAAACTCAACTCTGCCGAATCTTTGGCTTCCAGAGAGCATCTGAATATGACTGGGAAAAGGATATCCTTCCTGCCAGCCCACTCAAAGCTGAGGAACAGAACTCAGCAAGGCCCTCCTCTCCAGGCAGTTCGTGCTCCTTCTCCTACTGTTCTCACAAAAGACTACTTGAAACTTTGAAGTTTCCCTTCTTCAGGTCTTTCACATCTACTCTTACTTGCATTCATTTTCAGTTTGAAGCCATGCTGCTGATTTCAGTGAGAAATGGTAGGTCTCATTTCTCCACACAAACTCCCTGAGGCCCCACATGCCTTGCCTCTTCTTTAAGTGGGTGGACTTCCCTGCTTGTACAGGCCAACTGACACATACAAGTGACCATTCTTGGACTCCTTGGCCTATTTTGTTAAAGCTTATCTGTAACTCAAGTTAACCATGTCTCAACTTCTCAAGAATTAAATATTCCGACCATATTAAAGGTGAAGGCTTTTACACTTCAGCTTGAAACCCAATTGCTTGAATAGCAAATATTACATAAAGGGTGCCAAATAAATATTCATTTAGTAAACTTTCCAAAATTTAGTGATCTCAGTTTAATACATCTTCCTAGCTAACAACTCTGAAGTCCTTGTGTTCTAGAACATGGGAATTGTACAGGCGTGAGGATACTGTCATTGCAAATTCATCCTGAGAGTTTTTTTTTTTTGAAGGCAAAATTCATTGTGTTCTCAGTCATTGATGAAAAATAATTATTGTTGCTCATTTAAATCATTTAAAGCTTACTTGATAAAATTTTTATTCCTTGAAACTTCTATATAATTCAAAGACTTCTGGAATTTGAAAGACAAACATTTAGATAGACAAGAGAATATTTTAATATTAATACCACCTTGGCAATCTCTTCTTATTACAGATATTATACAATTTTTCCCATTAAAGTTGCATCTTGAGAGACATTCTAATTACGCAAATAGAGATGATAATAAAATAGTAGCCAACTATGAAGAAACATTTGCACGTGTCGCTTCCCTAAGTTTTCTCTTCCTAGGTTTTCTGTCTGAGGAGACAATGACAAAGAGCAAACTGGACAGGAAGGCAGCACAATAGCCAAGCTAGGTGCTATGTCCCATGCTTATGTATTTAGCTTCTGGCATTTCAGGGTTGCTTTTAGAATATCATCAGTGCCTGATTCACCTTCATGATTATTTATGCTGTTACTGAACAGAAAGCAATGCAAGTGGAGGATGGCGATCCTTCCACAATCACATTTCAACACATCTCCTTTATCCAAAGCCTTAACAAAAGACAGTCCTCATGTGGAGCCTGGACTCCTGACAGCTGAAGCCATCACCTGGAAGTCCCTGAAGCCTCTCAGTGCAATTTTGAGGATCCACACCTATGCTACGAAGGCTGCCATGGTGCGCCTGCCTGTCGGGTAGGTCTGGCTTCTTTTTCCCATGTTTATGTCTTTTATACTGTTGACTAATAAATAAGCAATTGGAGTTCTACATTATTCTTTCTGAAGTGATTCAACAAGGCACCTGTCCATCATTGGGATTCTAGAGAGAGAGAATCTTACCAACAGGATGCCATTCGAAGAGGGCTCATTGTTGGGAGTTCTGGGGCTGAACATGTAAAAAAAAACATGGCTTAAACCTGCTTAAACACAGAGGTTTCTAAAATGAATCCATCAACAACACCTCTTGTGTTCTCATAAATCTTACTGGTCTTTAGCAAGAATTTCGTTTGATTCCATTTAGATTATACAAGAGAATGTCTTCCTACTAACCTGGAATTTCACCTGTGGTGTGTTTTTGTTAGACACGATTTTAATTATGATAAAGCTTAATTATGGTAAGGCTAGGCAAACACATCACACTTTCTTTCCAAAGGAAATTACATATAATGGAAGTGTTTTCTTGATTTTAGTACATAAAATTAGGGTGACTGTCTTGAATTTCAAATGGAAAATATTCTTACTAGATTTTTTTCCCTTTAAGTTCAATCATAATTGTGTGTGATCAGTCAAGAGTTACAGACTGTGCAGAAAGCAATCTCCAAGCAGCAAAAGTAAATGCTAAAACAATGTGTATTGTGCACCTAGAAGAGCTAGAAAATAATAAAATTTAAAAAAGCATAATTTCTCAATCTAGACTCTGTAGGGAGGGGTTCTCTAGAAATCAAAATAATTCTGTGAGATTATCTAATGCAGTGGTTCTCAACCTTCCTAATGGTATGACACTTTAATACAGTTTCTCATGTTGTGGTGGCCCCCAGCCATAAAATTATTTCATTGCTACTTCATAACTGTAATTTTGTTACTGTTACAAATCATAATACAAATATCAGTGTTTCATAGGCAACCCCTGTGGAAAGGTAGTTCCACCCTCAAAGGGGTCATAACGCACAGGCTGAGAACCACTGATACAACTATTGACACACCCAGGACAAGGGTTTTAAAAGGAGAGTCTTGAAGTTGCACCTCCCCACACACACCCTAAGCCACAGGTGTGTTTCAAGCATCCTCTTAAGAGTCTAAATGGCCAGTAATTGAGGAAAGTGATTGTCTCTGTCTTCAGTGATACAGACAGTAGATGGGAAGGAGAGAATGAACATATATGGAATGATGTGTTTGTGAATCTGCAACACTCTATATAGTCACAGTATGTGGGAGGCATCTTCAGTGTGTGAAAGTTTGTCATTTTTGTCTAATTATTTATGTTTTCTGCAACCAGCAATACACAGATTTCATGATATCTGAGGGTGAGAGTGGAAACCCAAAGGTATATATATATATATATATATATGTATATATATATATATATATATATATATATATATATGTATTCTTCCCTGACTTCTGACTCCAAACTCTGATCTAACAGCTATCAGAGGTGAAATACATTCAGCATAGGAAGAGCATGGTCTTCATATGGTGTTCATTCTCTCTAGGAGGCACATGCTACTCTTCAGTGCATATTCCCCAGTGGGACACGCCATACATGTCTGTAGCATGGTGACATTTGTCATTGGGGACGAAGATGTTGTACTGCCCAACTTTGAGCCGGTAAATATCGTAGCAAACCTTCTACCTTATCTCTGGTTTCAAAAGTTTAAACTCAATCTTCTTTTGATTTTTGAAATGTATTTAGCTTTCACCCTCCCTTTTTAACCTATTAAATTATCCATATAATTCTTCAAGAAATGTTCAAATGTAATCTGCATACTTAACAATTTAAAGTCTGTAGGAAAACAAGCAAAATTAATTCTTCTCCATAACTAGACCCACTGCTGCTCTGTTTCATCTTTCATATCTGTCACCTTCTCAGGGAGATGCATTCGGCCTTTGGAGAGATGAAGCACCAGTGCCATCCTTTGGAATGCCATTTAGTTTGAGCAGTTCTCCCCCTTTCATCCTTTCCTTACTCTGAGTGTATCCCCAGGATTCAGAGTATTCATTGTGACTTCCTGGAAACGTCCATCACCTCTTCCCTCTCTCTTCCTGGTCTTTCCTCTGTTTCTCTTGCTCCTTTCTCTGCTTTGAAGAGAAAATGCATGCAGCAAATCCACTCAAACCCTTTCTTGTTTACCATGTCCTCCATCTATGTTTGTGCCTAGGGGAGGTTAGAATTTGTATTTTCTGCTATATGACTACTGATACTTCCTCATCTCTAGTAACTGTAGTAGCACGTTCTCGATGGGCCTGCCAGCCCCAAATAATGACACAGAGACTTGTTAAAATTTATGAAAGCCTGACCTTAGCTTAGACTTGTTCCACCAGCTCTTATAACTTACACTAACCTATTTCTATTAATCTGTGTTCTGCCACATGGGTTTTTAACCTCTCCTTCATTCTATATGTTCAGCCCCCTACATTACATGTCTCTGCTGGTGTTGATTCGCCCCCGCCCCCAAATTTCTCTCCCCATAAGTCCTGCCTAACTACTTCCAGCATAACTATTGGCCATTCAGATCTTTATTAAACCAATTGGAAGGCACCTTGGCAAAAGCACAGTGTACAAAATGATTATCCCACAGCAAATAACTCGCTAAATAATCAAGATGAAACAAACAAACAACAACAACAACAAAAAAAACCCAAGAAAACAAGCTAAAAACTCCAGATGGTGCCAACATGGGATTCTCCAAGGTAGCCTAGTCTCAGTCCTGTGAGCATCTATGGAACAATGATTGCACTATGGCACCCCTAGAGAAACAATAAAGATGGCTCAGTTTTCCTGACTTTTTCTATGCAGGCATGTTCTGTGCCAGGCAATTCCAGCACCACCCAATAAACACCGTCCAAGACAGTCCTAGAACATCTCAGATTGGGTTGATTCCTTGAATCTCTGTCAGTCTGGAGTCCTTACTGTTTCTCAGAATGGGTAGCTGGAGGGAACCAGCAGCCGAAGCTAGTCCACCATCTGGTGGTTTGTTTTTTTGTTTTGTTTTGTTTTTGTTTTTTGCTCACTTGTTTGTTTGTTTGTTTGTTTGTTTAAATCTTGCAAGACCCTTTCCCTAGAATCTTCTCTGCCCTTCAGTACTCAAAATCCCAGTCTTCATCAGTCTAACATCTTAGACACCCTTTAGAACTGACTCTAGACATTAAAACTATGGAGTTTTCCCTGACTGCACCACAGGGCTAGTGCTCTTCTGATGCAGTCCTTTTCCTAGGACTTCCAGCCCTTGTTTCATGTGTCACAGACCATAGCATCGAGTAAAATGCTCAGTCCAGTCAAATCCTCTACAAATGAAATAGCCTTGAATCAGTCATATATCCCAGGATTTTCTCCCCAGGAAGTTGAACATTTGTGAACTTGGTTGCTCTTAACCAGACATGCGGATGGCTGTTGCATGTGCGCTCTGTCTTTACAGGAGAGCTACCGATTTACAGAACAGTCTCTAACAATTATGAAAGCTATTGGAAATGTGATTACTAGTTTCAAAGACAAAGGTAAATTGTCTGCAGCTATGAGGGATCTACAAGCAGCTCACTACCCTATCCCCCTCTACAACAAAGAACTCACTGCTCAACACTTCCGGGTAAGCACTTCTGGTCCGAGGCTCACAGCAGGAAAGATGCATGAGATGAACCCCAAACGCTGGGTCTAGCTGGAGAAGTGGTTTGCATGGGGACTGTTTCTTTGGAAAGTGATTGCAGGGAACAGAGAGGAATCTATAAGATGAGAAACAATGAAATTAGTTAAAGAATATGATAATTGCAGCTATGGGCTACTGAGACCTGCTCATGCAGAGGCTCCTGCTAAGCTGTGAAGGATGTCTCCATAAAGGAGAAGAAATGCTGGCACTGAGCCAGCAGTGGTTTTTCAATAGTTCAGGTTGACCTCAGAACATTAGCCTCCTCACTCTTATAAGAGAAGTTTCTGCAGGGGCTGAGTAGCATTCAGGCATCCTAGATAGCCTGGGGAGGGGAGGTCAGGGTACTTCTGTTTGTCTCTTGAGGAAGAAAAGTGAGAGGTACTGGTCCACCCCAGCTGCAAGGCAAGTGTGTGATATTGCTTTGTTTTGTTTTTTCCTGTTGTTGTTTTGTTCTATTCTTTTTAACGTCCATGCTATTGACATTAGCTAAATTATTTTTGTTATGAGAATGCCTCATGCACTGTGGAGTGTGTTACAGATGACTTGTTTTCACTGCATATGCCAATAGCATCCAATTTTGACACCAGAGAATGTCTCAGACCTTATCACATGACCTTTAAGGGAGAGGTTTCATTGCCAGAATGAAAAATATAGGTCATTCAATTAAACTGTAATTTAGCGTTAACTAATAGTATACATCATGCTTAATATAAGCACAAGTAAAAATTTCTTTACACTAAAAGTGTATTTTATTGTTATTCCCATGTAAACTGATGTTGGATGTTGTTGGCAAAGTATAAACTAATACTGCCCCCAACCTAGAAGAGCACCTTGCCAAGCAGAGGAGAAAGGAACCATTTTATTGTTGTATGAGCATCAAGGTAGAATAACAGTATGTATCCCAGCCAATCAACTGAATGGGCAGTGGCAAATGTCACACATTCAAACAGATGCAACTTTTGCATATATGCTCTCAACAGTGAAGAACAGCTCAGCTCCATACATTGTCCAACCTAGATTGTGCCATTATTGCTAATTTTGTGTGTGTGTGTGTGTGTGTGTGTGTGTGTGTGTGTGTGTGAATATTTCATCTTTTTCAGGTTTTCCACATATCATTGTGGCGTTTATTGAAAAAATCTCAAGTAGCCAAGCCTCCTTTAAACTTCAAATTTGCATTTCGGGCTATGCTTTTAGACACAGACTTACTGGATTCCTTTGCAGAGGATGCCTCTTTAGGTACTGATTCATTTTAAGTATCTGAGAGTGCAGTGGTGATAATTCAAAAAGGTTATGTTCAGCTGTTGGGTAGCAGAGACAACAAATCTGCCAGACAGCCATGGAGGTCAAGCCTTCTCTAGGATGTTCCAAGGGCTCCCAAGGTCTGCAGGGAAGACTTCCTAATCCTTATCATATATACTTCCAGGGGAACCCAAAATTTTGTATATTCACCATTGACCTACCTGGTATTTATTAAGGAACTTTTGGGAGATGCCCCAAATCAGTTGCCTTCCTTCCTCCCTCTTACCACATTTTATTCTCACTATTCTATTTTCTTTCAGTTCTGAGGGAAGCTTCTGGATATTTTCTGATGAGAATCTAAGGCAGGTCATTGAAATATCACAGCCTCATGCATGTTCTTTCCTCCAGACATTTACCTAAGCTCAGTGGACAATGTGAAATAAGATGTTCAATCCATCTTTGTGGAATTTTCTATGTCTGAAGGCTTCCATAGTTGCAGGCATTAAAGTTTTGGGAAATGATTAAATATAAATTCCAACCCAGTGTTTGTCTTTTTCTTGCCAGCGGAATGGGTAGACCTTAAGTACACTATGCCAATAAATGAGAAGGAGTATTCTCCCGAGGAAATAGCTGCTGCAGTGAAAATTCAATCCATGTGGAAAGGGACCTATGTCAGGATGCTCATGAAAGCCAGAATGCCAGGTATGGTGTTGAGATCCTTGAAATGGTCCGGCATGTATGGGAATGGGTGTCTCATTGTGTGCATGAAGGTATGTTAGAATCACCCTACTTTACAGAAGAAATTTAAAAAGTACAGAAATCCCCAGAGGCAAGGAGATGGTTGGAGTTCATCTTCTCATTCTCAAAATGAGAGTCAGTGAGTACAATGAATATTTACTGAAAGAATAAATGTCAGGGCTGGGACAGTGAGGTAGAAAAGTGCTTTCTACACAAGCATGAGGGCTGGAATTCAGATCCCAGATTCTGCAGAAAAGCTTCCCAGGTGTGGTGACACAATAGGCACAGCCCTTGGGAGGCAGACAGAGGGCATCCCTGTGGCCAGCTGTCCAGCCAGATGAACCACATCAGGGAACTCGGGTTTCTGCAAGAGACCCTGCAACTAAGAAAGACACCTGACCTCAACATCTGGCATCCAAGTGTATGAGCACACTTGCATGTGTCCATTGAACATTCGTGTGTCCATGCAGATGCACACATGCACTGATAACACACACTACACATTGAAATAGAATGCACATTCTATGAATCATTGAGAAAAATGATCAGCTTAATTTCCGAATCTGTTGTGAGTTCTTTTCAATCATCCCCAGTTTGGTCGTATCAGTTTGTAATGTCAGTCAAGTAGGAGATTATTGTACATTTTCAGACTGAATGCCACAGAAGTGCTTCTATGCATAATGAGGCTGATGTTAATTTAGAGGCAAAGATGTTTCTATATGCTTTAACATTTGTGAAGTGAAATGTTTTCAGGTGTATCAAATGAATTATGGGGGAGAAATGCCTATTTCAAATGAAAATTCAAAAGGTGTATTCAATCATCATTTTCATCATGTGATATCCTTTTGAGAGGAAAGGTTTGTCTAGGAGAGAACATTTTAGTTTATTCAGACATTTTGTTATAAAAATATCTCTATGGAAAACATTTTAGTGACAATACTGAAATTTTTGTCTAGGGAATGAAAAGTCTAAATATTGAAAGGGTATTCCTTCCTTCCTTCCTTCCTTCCTTCCTTCCTTCCTTCCTTCCTTCCTTCCTTCTTCCTTCCTCCTTCCTTTTTTGGTTTTGTGAGACAGGGTTTCTCTGTATTGTTTTGGAGGCTGTCCTGGAACTAGCACTTGTAGTCCTGGCTGGCCTCAAACTCACAGAGATCTGCCTGCCTCTGTCTCCCAAGTGCTGGGATTAAAGGCTTGTGCCACCAACACCTGGCTACCCAAAAGTTTTTAAAAACATATAGTAAATAGTTTGTGATAGAAAATATTACAAATATAGGCATGATGCTTCACTAGTATAGTTCTGACACTCAGAAGGGTAGAGGATTGCTACTGTTGGTGTGAGGCTGACCTGAGACCCCATATCAAGAAAGAAGGAAGGGAGGGAAGGAGGGAGGGAGGGAAAGAGGGAAAGAGGGAAGGAAGGGAAAGGAGAAAGAACAAGTTGGAGATAGAAATAAATTATAAATGTTTGATTTTAATGTTTTTCTTCATTAGAAAACAAACACATTCATAAAACTCACTATATGGTAAAATGTTGTGATTCTATGAGTAGCAACTATTCTAATCATATTATGATTTTGATTCTCTCTGTAAGTAGTCACTATTATATTTATATTGTAACTTTTTTCCATTGTGAGAACTATGAAAAATGTAAGCAGTTTCATAATGTAGTTCTTTCACTCTACTCATATTCATTGAATGAATCTCAGGGGGACACACTCATGATGGTGACAGTCTCAGAGAAGCTGGCCAAATGAAGCCTCAGCCCCATTACATCAGGTGCGAAACAGATAAGCAAAGATGCTATGGCTCCCATTTCAGATCCAGAAGAGCAGGAAAGGCATTCAGGACAATAAGGAAGGCCTGGGAGTGCATATTTCTGACATGTTGACTCTGAGATCATTACTCATGATGGCATTTCATCTGCCCACCCATCAACTATGAAACCATTTGTGGGCAGTGCCATAGACTGAGGTTTCTGACATCCATCCAGGTGTATTCCTTACAATAATTAGGTAATTGCTTTTTTGTAAGCTAAGGTTTTCCACAGGAGTTTTGCTTAAGATGTCCTTAAGCAAACTATTTCATGAGTCTCTTAAACATGCAAGAACCCATGTTTTGAGGCTAAAGATGAGAGGAAACAGCTGAATACTGTGAATAGTGCTGAATAGTGCTCTCATGTAGTCATTTATACCTTTATGATTTAAATAATCTTTTGCTGCTTAAAACTTGAGAGCCTGGAGTCATCTTACTTGTGGATTGTGGAGGTCTCTGCAAGCAGCATGGCCATCAGGGTATTGATCCACAAGAGGCAAGAAGGAAGTCCAGTTCAGTAGGACTCAGACACTGGTGTCAGTTCAAACTTCAAGAGTCCGACCCCTGGTAGTTTATTTTAGGCATTGAGCACAGCACAATTTGGGTGTTTCCTAGTAACAATTAACTCAGGCCCAAGTGCACAACAAAACGTAAGACATGACTACATCAAAACTCTTACAAAGTGACATTGTCCATACAAATAGTTTCTGTAGATTAACTAAAGAAGACAGGCTCAAGATAAACAAACTCATGATAGGATCTGGGATAGCTGATGTGACCTGGCCATACAGATAGCTCAGAGGTTACTAGACTATTCACCACATCCATTCACAACCTTCAGGCTGGAAAGCAGGTTATCACCTTTTTCTTTGAAGAGACAACCCTGTGTGTTTAACATTCCTGCTTTCTCTAGCACTTATCTGTGAGCACAAGGACCTACATGCCTCCTACAGGGGATTGCAAATTCTTTATCTGCAAACTGAACACTGTTCAAGATCATTGTTCAGACATCTTATGGATTTTATTATTATTATTATTACTATTATTATTTAGACACAAAAGAAAATGCCAGCGTTTCGGATACCCTTCAGAAAATTTGGGCCGTATTAGACATGAATATGGAACAGTATGCACTTTCTCTTCTAAGGTAAAGAACATCTCTAGTCCTCTTCTAGCTAAAGAATACTTCTACATTTCCAGTAAAGAACTGTCATCTATGGCCATAATGACCTCTATCCCAGATATCACCTGAGACATTGTGAAAAAGATCCAAGATTCCTGGTGCTTTTAAGGCTAGATCCAGACTCAGGCAGGAAGAGAGGAGGAATCCATCCCATCAATTCTCACCCTCTTGTGGAAGATGCCACAGGCTTCCCTGCAGGGAGCAGACAGATCTCATGATTCATTCAAGTCAGTTCCATGAGCCAGACACATAGAGAAAGGAAATTCTAACATTTTACTCTCATTTGTGCCCTTTGTTTTTCATCACTGAATTTCCCAAACCCATTGATCACATTAACTTTACAAGCTCCAACATGTGGATCCTTTGTGGCCTTGATCTAGTTTACAACTGCTTAGCCTGCTTCCATCTCCCCAGCTCTAGAGCTTAAACATCCAGCCTTCTTTCCCATCTCTGAACATTACTTACTCCCTTGCTTGGGAATTACATTCTCTTTCAGTTAAAATCATCAGACAACTGCAAGTGCCCTTGAAATGTCATTCAAGACTGACCCAGAATGCGCTTCTCTCTTTTGGCACCAGTTGCCCCAAATCACATAGTGCCTCTTTGATCTCAGTCAGGAAAACAGTGGCATCTGATATTTTGCTATCTCAAGGGATACTTCTCTTCTGTAAATGGAGTTTATTTCAAAAGTGCCTAGTCATTTCGTATTCAACTTATTTTCCCATTTCTAGACTAATGTTTAAGAGCAAGTGTAAGTCTATGGAGTCTTACCCATGCTATCAAGATGAAGAAACCAAGATGGCCTTTGCTGACTACACAGTGAACTTTCCAGACCAGCCACCAAATTCTTGGTTTATAGTATTCAGGCAAGTGGTGCATGTTGCCATCTTCAGATGACATGCAGTGTTCAGACCTGGAGTTTCAGGAATAAAAGTATAATTAGCAGTAAAATTATAAGCCTGTAGACTGCTTTCTATTTGGCTAAAACTTTTTGATACATATACATAAATTTTCTTCTACATGTATGATGGGATGCCAGAGAATTTTTATCAATAGTCTTTACATCAAAATATGAAAATGTAACCAATTTTTAGATTTTCAGTGAATATGTTTACCTAATAAATCAGTCTGTTTCCAGTGTAACATTAGATAACATTTATTTCCAAGCAATAGCATATTGGGTACAAGTCATGAATGTTGAATAAAATTGAAGTCTGCAATTGTACATCAAACAGCACAGTAATAATAACTTGAAATAGAAAAGATATGTAAGCCTTTTAGTTATTTGCAATTTTAAGGTTTTACAAAGGTTCTGTGGGGCTAAATTCTGTTTAAAGCATTAAGAGTCATACTAAGAAAGTCATGTGCTTTTGTGATTACAGGGAAACATTTTTGGTTCCTCAAGATATGATCATACTCCCCAAAGTATATACTACTCTTCCGATCTGTTTGCTGCATGTTGTTAACAATGACACGATGGAGCAAGTGCCAACGGTGTTTCAGAAGGTGGTGCCTTGCCTTTACCCCAAAAACAAGGTAGGTGCAAAGTGTATCATCAGATGTGAAAAAAACAGTGGTGAATGGGAGCTCCTAAGCCAGTGGCAGGCAGATGAGCTTGCAGTCTACCTAGGAGGAAGAGGCCATTGTTTTAATGAGACTGAATGCTGCAGCATACTTCACATTCTGGAAAGAACACATTGCACATGCCCATTGTTGAACCCAAAGCCATATCAGATCCAGAAACAGATCCAGGAGTTCATTTGGTCCTATACTGAAACAGGCCAGGCTTGCCTCTATCTTACATGTAGCCTTTGTTCTTCTCTTAAGCATTTGGTGATGGTGGCTGGAGAAGGCACTGAGATCACATGCCCGGCCCCCTCCCTCACTCTTTGAAGGTAGCATGACTTTATCAGGCCAAGAAACATATAGGCTGCCTGCTGAATGGATAAGAGACCCTGGCCTTCCGTCAGATGTTTCCTGTCTGGGTATTTTAATCTCCTCTTCATGTTTTCAGTTACTTTTCCCATTAGGGAACCATGACAAGTGTAGTGGACATGGGCTACAAATGAAGAGAGCTGTTTTTGCTCCTAACTTCCATTCTTTAGCCCTGTGGTTTTGAATTTGATTATTTCCCCTCTGGATTATGATTGTAGTTTTCTTTTGAGGTTCATTTCAGTCTATAACCTCACACATTATTTTATGTAAATTAGACATCCCTATCTAATGAATGTCTAATGAATATTGGCTTCAGAAGGATGGGGAATAGATATAAAATGTATTAATTCAATAAGAAGCTACCATTTTAATTTATGGTCACTGTGTTTACTACTTGTTGAAATGATATTCATATTTCCTTTATTTTGGTAACATTTATCATTTCCCGCACATCAAGCATGCCTTTGTGAACTGAATTTAACCCATTATATTTCTTCCTGCTCTATATTCTCCTTCATGGCCTAATGTATGACATTTCATCAAGAATTCCAGGACTGTGAAATTTCCCTTACCTGTGAATGCTACCTTCTACAGCAGAATGTCCTGTATTAAGTTCAGTGTTAGAAAATAATTCAGGTCCTTCCATAACAAATTTGTTTTTACATATAGACAATTTTTGCATTGTCACTTACCAAATTTGACTTAGATTTCTGTTAAACAGAAACAATTTAATTTGTGATCACACATATTAAAAATAAGAAAGCTCAAAAGTAAGGAAATGGTTTTATCTAAAGCAGTGGTTCTCAGCTTTCCTAATGCTTCAACCCTTTAATATAGTTCCTTATGTTGTGCTGACCCCCAAACTTAAAATTATTTTCATTGCAGCTTCATAACTGTAATTCTTCTACTATTATGAATCTTAATGTGCTTTCCAGTGGTCTCAGGCAACCCCTGTGAAAAGATCATTCAACCCCCAAAGGGTCATGAACCACATGTTGAGAACCCTGGGTCTAAAGGAAGAGTCTAGCAACGTCCTTTGAAACTTGATAAGGATTCTTATTGGAATGAGGCTTGCAAATGTATATTCTTTTTTAATTAAACAAATAGAAATTTTCTCCCACTTCTTTCATAATTCCTCAAAGACCAAACAGTGGGATCCAGGACACCGACCTGTGAGATTTCCCAGCATTTATTTATATCTAAACCAGGGATTCACACAAGCTAAGCAAGCATCCTACCACTTGGGTACACCCTCAGCCCTAAGATGATCATTTCTAGGAAGGATTTTAAACATAACATTAACAGCTTAATGGTTGTTAGGAGATCCTGGACTCCATGCGGATATCAGTATAGTAGCACATTTATTTGAATGTGTGGACCACATATTTGAGAGACTCTTGGCAATATGAATTCTATGTGTGTTATTGCCTTCTCTTTTAGAAGGGATACACTTTTGTGGCTGAAGCATATACTAGTGACGCATATGTGTCAGGTGCACGATGGAAACTGCGGCTCATTGGCTCTGACAACCCACTTCCATTTCTCTCCCGAGATACTCCATGCAGCACCTTCATCTTGAAGGAGATCAAAGACTACTACATCCCTAATGACAAGAAAATCCTGTTCAGGTACAAGTATATAATAGACGGTGTTCTTTAAAGTATTAATATTTTTATTAAAACGAATTCGTAATTCTGAATGCATTAATTTTTTAAAGATTTATTTATTATGTATACAACAATGTTCTGCCTGCATGCATGCTTGCACACACCAGACCTCATTACAGATAGTTGTGAGGCACCATGTGGTTGCTGGGAATTGAACTCAGGACCTCTGGGAAAGCAGCCAGTGCTCTTAACCTCTGAACCATCTTTCCAGCCCGCATTAAATTTTAATTTCTGTAATTTTATAGAGATAACTAATTAACACTAGCATGGCTAAATGACTGCTCAATCAAATCTATAGAGTTTCAAATAATAATAATACCATTTCTTGGGCTTCATTTTACTTGACTTTCACTATAGATTCTTTCTGATCTCTTATGGTTATTTGACTTTCTCCTCAATCTGCCCATCTGTGACTACTCTCTACTGTGTGTGTGTGTGTTGGGGGCAGGTCCTTGTATGTCACTCCAACCTTCTTTTCATGATCACCTATTCACACCCCTTGAATGGTCCTAGTACTGGCTCCCCTTTCTTTCATAATTGCTTCTGTGGATTCTAATACTGACATATCATCCCTCTCTGTGTGTCTCCCATCTCTTCACAATGCTCCTGCACTATGTCAGGTGCTTCATCATGTTTATCACACTCCCTTCTTAATTTATATGTTTTTCCTTTATTACTGACATACATATTTGCAATTACTATAAAATGTTTTTAACTTTCCACTGACTGTAGAATAAAACTCAAGCTACAGAGTGTACCGTTCAATGCTCTTGCCCAGCCACCAACCACTAGCCAGGGCTGCCTCTCAGTAGAACAAAAGGTTCCCTTCAGATAAGTAAGCTGTACAAATTCTGTTTCCTACCATACTTCCTTATTGTGTGATATTCCATCTTCATTGTGCCACTTTGAAAAAAAGCTAATGATAATTTTCCAAATGTAAACCCTTTGTATTGAAATCCCAAATATAAGTAGTTGACTCAGGCGCCATTTCTGTGCTAAACATTTTATGTAGTGTATACACATTTTAGCTGATTATTTGTGCATTGGCCTCTATGAGAATTAATGTTTGTTAATTTAGCTTTATTGAAAATAGATTCTTCTCTCATAGAATACATCGTGAACAGTTTTCCCTCCCTCCACTTCTCTGAGCTACTTCCTAACTCCCCTCTCCCCCAGAGTCACTCACCCTCTATTTTCTCTTCAGAAAAGAGCAGAACTCCAAGAGATGACAGCCAGACTAACTGAGGGCCAGACACATGTCCTTTCAACATGGGAACTAGCACAGTGCCCAATGCATGGTTGGCCTGCATTAAATATTTTCTCTTTTTAATAGAAAACATTCTTTCACGTGAACTTAGAGAACACATTAAATATATAAATGACATTCATAATCAGTCAACCAACAAATAGCCTTAGTTAACACCTTGTTCTTGCTTCTTCTATCATTTCCTTCTGGCTATAGTTAACCACTTTGAAAATCATGACAGTGACAGCTTTGTGATTGTGACATTTCATGGAGTGTTATGTAATGTTCAGTTATCAGTGACATCAAGATGTTTTTAGCTATTTTATGCCTGTCCAGTAGTCAATCACTTGACTACTCAGCCATTTACTTGGTTAAAGGCTGCTCCTTATTGGGCATCATCTTTGGTGCCCAGAAAAACAACTAATATTTTTTAGGTTTTATTATATTGAAGAGATGTTTTAAAGATACCATACATTCTGTTCATTGTAAAGTGGTATGATTGTAAGTGTGACATGTAGTAGTGGTCACATAACTGTCAAGGAAGGAGGCTTTTAGATCTATCCTATTTCATAAATGGCTTCTCATCATACTTAACAAAAAGAATCATTTCCTACTTGGAATTTTCTATTAATGGAAATATGCTATTGTTTTTCTTGACTGTAATTTGGGGTTCCTTTTTTAGAGTCTGTAGTCACTCTAATGTTTTAGCATGTCCATGGGCCTTACAAAGCTGCTTTACTTTCAGACAATCAAATGAGAAAATCTCACCATTTCCTTTATCAAGTTGAGGGACAGATCAGTGTGCTTTTTCATAAAAGCTCAACCTTTCTCACAATAGGTACTCCATTAAAGTGACAGTGGCACAGTTTATTACAATACAGGTCCGCACATCCAAGCCTGATGCCTTCATCAAGCTGCAGGTGCTGGAAAGCGAGGAGACCATGGTGAGCACTATGGGCAAAGGGCAAGCCATCATCCCTGCTTTCTACTTTCTGGGAAGTGAAAGAGCATTGAGCTCCCAGTGTAAGTACCTGCCCAGAGTGTGGACTGCATTCATGAACATATTCTTTTATTGCTGTGGCATTTAAAGTGTTTGATTTAAAATGGAAACCAAAACTTGGCATTTGACACCATACTTGACCCCAAAGATGCTACTATAATTATATGTCTAACTACACTCTGAAAACAAATAGATTGGTCATGACTTTCCTCTACTGACTACTTTGAGAAAATTTATTTCTTACACATGAGCCTACTTTTATTTTTAAAGATTTGTGTATGAATATGAGTGTTTGCTTACATGTATAAATGGCACCATACACATGACTGGTCCTACAGAAGCAAGAAGAAGGACTTGGATCTCCTGGAACAGGAGACCCTGGTGGTTTTAAGGTACCAGATGGATGCTGGGAACTAAACCAGGATCCTCTTCAGGAGTAGCATATGCTCTTAACTGGTGCATCACCTCTCCAGTCCCACATGAACGTTCTTAATAAATATCTCTAAGACTGGAAATTTTGAAAGGATCCATCTTAAAATAAGCATGTTCTTTTAAGTACACTGTATTCTGTAAGTGTATATGTAGCCTATTTAGTCAGTAATACCAATGCACATCAAATATACTAACAGAGTATTTCTCATTTTTAGCTAGCAAACAAATTCTCTTATCTCACACTTCACCTAAAAAAGAACAAGAAGCGATGACCAAGAAAAAATCCGCCCTATCAAGTCAGAAATCCTTTAAGGTCAGACCTGGAATCGTGGCAACAGAGGGTGTGCCTCTGATGGAAGAAGAAGCTATGAATGTTACAACTGTAGAAGAAAATTCTAGCACACCACAACAGGTACATTAACTGAAATAAAAGAGAATTATTTGGGGCTAGGAAGATGACTTAGTTGGTATAATGTACTTATGTAACTCCCAGCTGGGAGGCTGAGACAAACAGATCCTAGAGCCAGTTAAACTGGACAAAATGGAAAATTCTGGATTCAGTCTGTGTTAGAATGAGCTAGAATATGTTGGTAAGTTTTGGTTGATATTTTAGTTTGGTTAGTCAAAATAATGAATTTTGATTGCTGGACTTTGGGTGTTTTGATAGTTCTGCCTGGATGTTCAGTCTCAGGAATGAGTCAGAGGCCAAATAAGGGAATGAACATTGGTGGCTAGTTTTAGGAATGTAATCTAACAGTTTAGCAAGGGGGAGAAGGGTAAAAGGCAAAACCTGTTGGTGCCATGTTTGTCATGCTCAGATCTGCTAGAGTCCCTCAAAATTAACATAAAACTAGCCAGTGTAAAAAGTAACATTGATTTTTTGAAATATAGAGGTGAAACCACCAGTCAAAGGAGAAAAGGTAACGTATCTGAGGCTAGGGAATATTCTTGCCCTTCATCACAGCTAACACTATAAATAAAGGTGGGTTCCAGGTGTGCTGCAGATTTAAGTGAGAAATTTTAATCCATAAAAGTAATAACAGATTGGGCTGGAAAGATGGCTCAGAGGTTAAGAGCACCGTCTGCTCTTCCAGAGGTCCTGAGTTCAATTCCCAGCAACCACATGGTGGCTCAAAACCGTCCATTATGAGATTTGGTGTCCTCTTCTGGTGTGCAGATATACATGGAAGCAGAATGTTGTATTCATAATAAATAAATAAAATCTTTTAAAAAAATAACAACAGATGATGCAGGGGACTGGTTTATAATCTAAGTATAAAGCCAACAACTTTGGAAAAATACTCCCAACCTCTGAAATAATATAAGAAAAGATGGAAATATGACAGAAATGAGATTTTACTTTGTGCCAGTTGCGCTGATAAAACTAGAGACGTGGATGATGGATGCATTAGATGTAGATGATGGATGCATTGGCTGGCATTGAGAATGTTAAATGCATTTTTGCTGCATGTTGGAGGCTGTCTTAGTTACTTTTTCATTGCTGTGAAGAGACCATGACCAAGGCAACCTATAAAAGAAAGTGTTTAATTGGGGCTCGCTATACATTCAGAGTATGAGTCTATGACCATCATGGTGGGGAGCATGGCAGCAGGCAGGCAGGCAGGCAAGACGCTGGAGCAGTGGGTGAGAGCTAACATCTTATCTGCAAGTTGAAGGCCAAGTGACTGGGCCTGGCCTGGGGTTTTGAAACCTCAAGACTCACCCTCAAGGACACACCTCCTCCAACAAGCCACACCTCCTAATCCTTTCCAATACAGTTCTACCAACTTGGCACCAAACATTGAAACATGTGAACCAATGGGCCAATTCTTATTCAGACCAACACAGAAAGTCTCAGAAAACACATATCATTTAATTGTATGATGAATAAAATGACGCATTATAAGCTTGACCTAATACATCTTTCAATGTCTGTACTGTACAGATTCTTTGGGTTGTCCTGACTCACTGCCTTGCCTTTCACAGTGCTACAAGTACATCATACAGTGCTTGGTGATGTTTAACAGCTGGCCTCTCACTGAATCTCAGCTGATATTTGTTCAAGCACTAAAAGAGTTAGAGAAAATTGATATCAAAGGTATGTTACCCTAAATACTTTTAAAATGTTTATTTTATTTTATGTGTTTTGCTGGCATGTATATAAGTATACCATGTGCATGCCCAGTGCCTGTGGATGTCTAAAGAGGGCATTGGAACTCCTGAAGCTGGAGTTACAGGTGATGTGAGCATCCACGTGGGTGCTGGGAACACAGTGCTGGTCTTCTGCAATAGCAGTCAGCTGTTAATACTGAGCTATAACTCCAGTGGCACACTTTAAATATTGTTCATGCCACTTGTATTTTATGTGCTGAATACCAAGTGGATCACACAATTATAAAATGTTATTGCTCAGGGTCTATAGTCTCATATTTTTGTCATATTATGTTTCAATATTTTTCCAACTTTTTTATTTGAATTAGGAACAGGATTGTTTTACATGACAATCCCAGTTCCCTTCTCCGACCTGTCCTCCCCTACCGCACCTCCCCCAATAAAATCCTATCTATCACTAATCCTTTCTGCTCCCTCTGGATGGTGAGGCCTTCCGTAGGGTGTCATCAGTGTCTATTGTATCCTTTCGGATAGCTTAGGCCCACCCTGTGTGTCTTGGCTCAGAGAGTATTCTATGTGGAATGGGCTCCCAAAGTCCATACCTATGTTAGGGATAAGTACTGAACTTCTACAGGAGGTCCCGTAGATTTCTGAGGTTTCCTCATTAGAAACCCATGTTCCTGGGGTCTGGATCAGTCCCATGCTGGTATCCCAGCTATCAGTCTGGGGAGCAAGAGTTCCCGGATATTCAGGTCAGCTGTTTCTGTGGGTTTCACCAGCCTGGTCTAGACCCCTGTGCTCTTCACTTGTCCTTCTCTGCATCTGGGTTCCAGTTCAGTTCAGTGATTAGTTGTGGGTGTCTGCTTCTATTTCCACCGGCTGGTGGATGGTTATAGGATGGCATATAAGTCAGTCATCAATCTCATAATCAGGGGAGGGCATTTAAGGTAGCCTCTCCTCCGTTGCTTAGATTGTTAGCTGGTGTCATCTTTGTAGATCTCCAGACATTTCCCTAGTGCCTGATTTCTCTCCAAACCAGAAATCTCTCCCTCTATTATGATATCTCCATTCTTGTTATCATCTATTCTTCCCCTGACTCAAACTTTCTGCTCCCTCATGTCCTCTGCATCCCTCTTCTTCTCCCCTCCTCATTCTCCTAGCTCCCTCCCTACTCTTCCAGTGCTCTCAATTTGCTCAGCAGATCTTGACCCTCTCCCCTTCTCCAGGGGACCATGTATGTTTCTCTTAGGGTCCTCCTTGTTTATTAGCTTCTTTGGCAGTGTGGATTGTAGGCAGGTAATCCTTACTCTTATGTCTAAAATCCGCATATGAGTGAGTACATACCATGTTTGTCTTTTTGTGAGTGGGTTATCTCGCTCACAATGGTTTCTTCTAGATCCATCCATTTTCCTGCAAATTTCAAGATTCCATTGTTGTTTTCTCCTGAGAAGTACTCCATTGTGTAAATTTTCTCTATCCATTATTCGGTTGAGGGGCATCTAGGCTGCTTCCAGTTTCTGGCTATTACAAATAGTGCTGCTATGAACATCGTTGAACAGATGTCCTTGTTGTATGAACGTGTTTCTTTTGGGTATATGCCTAAGAGTGGAACTGCTGGATCTTGTGGTACACTGAATCCCACTTTTTTGAGGAGTCGCAATACTGATATCCAAAGAGGCACTACAAGTTGGTACTCCCACCAGCAGTGGAGAAGTGTTCCCCTTTCTCTACATCCTCTCCAACATGAACTGTCATTGTGTTTTTGATTTTGGCCATTCTGACAGGAGTAAGATGGTATCTCAGAGTTGTTTTGATTTGCATTTCCCTGATGGCTAAGGATGTTGAACACTTTCTTATGTGTCTTTCAGCCATTTTAGATTCCTCTATTGAGAATTGTCTATTTAGTTCTGTACCCCACTTTTTAATTGGATTGTTTGGTGTTTTGGAGACTAGCTTCTTGAGTTCATTGTATATTTTGGAGATCAGCCCTCTGTCACATGTGGGGTTGGTGAATATCTTTTCCATCTGTGGGCTGCCGTTTTGTCTTACTGACTGTCTCCTTTGCCTTACAGAAGATTCTCAGTATCAGGAGGTCCCATTTATCAATTGTTGACCTCAGAGTCTGTGCTACTGGTGTAAAGTTCAGGAAGTGGTCTCCTGTACCATTTAATTCAAGGGTATTTCCCACTTTGTCTTCTAATAGGTTCAGTGTAGCTGGATTTATGTTGAGATCTTTGATCCATTTTTGACCTAAGTTTTTGCAAGGCGTTAGGCTTGGGTCTAACTGCAGTATTCTACATGTCTGCAACCAGTTATGCCAGCACCATTTGTTGAAGATGTTCTCTTTGTTCCTTCGTATAAATTTGGATTGTTTATCAAAAATCAGGTGTTCAGAGGTGTGTGTGTTAATATCAGAGTTTTCAACTCTATTCCATTGGTCTACCTGTCTATTTTTGTGCCAATACCAAGCTGTGTTCAGGACTACAGCTCTGTAATAGAGCTTGAAGTCAGGGATGGTGATGCCTCCAGAAGTTCCTTTATTGTACAGGGATGTTTTGGCTATCCTGGGTCTTTTGTTTCTCCATATAAAGTTGAGAATTGTTCTTTCAAGGTCTGTGAAGAATTGTGTTGGGATTTTGATGGGGATTGCATTGAATCTGTAGATTGCTTTTGGCAAGATTGCCATTTTTACTATGTTGATCCTACCTATCCAAGAGCATGGGAGATCGTTTCATTTTCTGGTATCTTTCTGGTAAAGAAAGAAATTAAATTCTTATGGTACAGGTCTTTCACATTTTTGGTTAGTGTTACCCCAAGGTATTCTTTGTTGTTTGTGGCAATTGTAAAGGGTGATGTTTCTCTGATTTCTTTCTC